AGAGCGTACTGTTCTTGCTAGAGGACACAGGGTCCATTCCCAGACCCCACATCACAATCATCTATAAGTCCAACTCCCTCCTCTAGTCTCCACAGGCACTTGCATGCACACGATGTACAACAATACACACATACACATAAAATAAATCTTTGTAAAAATAGAACACACGGTGGGACCAGGTTACAGCTTAGTTAACAGAGTGCTTGCCCAGTAAGACTTTGATGCTAACACCTGGTAAACTGGGCATGGCAGAGCATGCTTGTAACCCCAGCACTTGGGAGGTGGAGACGGGGGTCAGAAATTCATGACATGACACCCTGCTTCAAAACAAGGAAGACGTACAATGTCTGTCATTTGATGAGCTGACTGCATGCTAGGTACCGCACAGCATGTCACTAGCACTGGCTCTGCCTTGTAAGGGCAGCGTGTGTGAGTGTGTGTGTGTGTGTGTGTGTGTGAGTGTGTGTGTGTGTGTGTCACACAGTCCAGAGCTGAGGTTTAAGGTTTGTAAAATGTGTTGCAATGGCTTCCTGGATGACATGAAAAACAGTTTAACGCCATTCCCGTTTCATGAGTGACAGCCAGGAAAATAACCACGGCACACCTGGGCATTCCTTCAGTGGGGGCTCCCTCCCTAGCCAGTCTCTCACAGTCTGGTCTCCCCAGATCTCGAGGCTGGAACAGACATGGGTGACCTTGCGACAGCGACACACAGAGGGGGCCATTCTGTATGAGAAGAAGCTCAAGCCTTTCCTCAAGGGCCTCAACGAAGGCAAAGGTACCGTGCACCCCCATCTTGCTGTGTGGTTTCCCTGGGTTGCCAGAGTCCCCCTGGGGTGCTGAGGGTGAAAGCCTGACTCCTTTACCTCTCCCTATATGACAGCCATGTGGGCCCTGTCCACATGCAGGGTGGGGTCACCAGGGAAAGCAGGCGTTGTTCCAGGTGACCTGGGTGCTCCTCCTGGGGCCTTAGGCATCTCTGGGGCAGCAGTGGGTGGCAGGTTCTTCATGTCTAAATGCCAGTGTCCCCTCCCACAGAAAGCCCGCCACTGAGCAACACGACGTTTCCACACGTGCTGCCGTTCATTACTCTGCTGGAGTGTGACTCAGCCCCCGCTGAGGGTCCTGAACCTTGGGGCAGCACGGAGCATGGTGTGGAGGTTGTGCTAGCCCACTTGGAGGCTGCCCGCACTGTGGCACAACATGGGGGCCTCTACCACACCAACGCTGAGGTCAAGCTGCAGGGTGAGTCGCAAGGATCACACCCTCCCTGGCTCCCCTCCACCTCCGCTGTCCCTGCCGCTTGTCTCCAGGCGTCCTCTGACAGTTTCCCCTCCTCAGTCTTGACTTCCGGCTCCCTCAACCCATCTTCCCTGTCGTTCGTTCGCCCCACAGGCAGCTGTTGATAAGGGTATCAGGTGAGGTGCGCTGAGAGCTACTGGACACTTTTGCCTTGGGCCTCAGTGCTCTTACCCAGAAACCACTGTGTTTCCACAACCGTTTGCAAGGAGCCTGGCCAAGGCCCAGGAGCAAGACAGACCTGCCTGGACTTGAGGGACTTGAGGAGCCTTGACTGAGGGACTATAGAATTCTGGAAAAGGGGCAGAGAAAGTAGCTTCAAACTAGGCTCTCTTACTGCTTTGGGCATTATTTAAACCACAAAAAACCCAGAGGGCTGGGGGGCCAGTTGGTAGGGTGCTCCACTCACATGGAAAGCCCTGGATTCGATCCCAGCACTGTAAACACTGCAGAACCTGGGTGCGGTGAGCCACAGCAATCCCAGCACGCGGAGGCAAGGGCGTCAAGAGTTCAGTATCACCCCCAGTTGCCTACTGAATTCAAGGTCAGCCTGGGAGACAGGCAGTTCTTTGAGTTCAAGGCCAGCCTAGTCTATATAGCATGTTCCAAAGCCAGTCACGGCCACATAGGGAGATTGTCTCAAATAATAATAATAATAATAATAATAATAATAATAATAATAATAATAACAATAATGATAAAGATTTAGAAAATTATTGACTTGCCCCGAGATATAAGTTGTGAATATTCTGGCATATCTTTTTCTTTTTCAAAAATATAAGAATTATATGCACTTTAAAAATGTTTCTTAATGGCCAGGTGGTGGCGGCGCACGCCTTTAATCCCAGCACTCGGGAAGCAGAGGCAGGGGGATCTCTGTGAGTTCGAGGCTAGCCTGGTCTACAAAGCAAGTTCCAGGACAGCCTCCAAAACAATACAGAGAAACCCTGTCTCGAAAAAAAAAAAGTTTCTTTAATGGGCTGGAGAGTTGGCTCAGTGGTTAAGAGCACTGGCTGCTCTTCCAGAGGTCCTGAGTTCAATTCCCAGCAACCACATGGTGGCTCACAACCATCTGTAATGAGATCTGGTGCCCTCTTCTGGCCTGCAGGGGTACATGCACACAGAACACTGTACACATAATAAATAGGATCTTCTGAGACCTTCCCCACATTTACAGGAACATCTTACCTTTTAAGGCTGAGGTAGCTGAGGGGTTGAGTATTTGTTTAGAATGCACAAAGCCCTAGGTTCTACCCCTAGCACCACCCACCCACACAATCATGACTTGCAAAGTAGTTGAAGACTAGGTGCCAACTGCAAGACCATGTTTTTCAATGTGTTTTGTTGGGTCCCTGGGGGACTAGGGAAATATCCCTATGAGCAGGACCCTGAAGGATGTGAAGACACCCCTGACCATGTCTCCCCCCCCCCCTCCAGGGTTCCAGGCTCAGCCTGAGCTCCTGGAAGTATTCAGTACGGAGTTCCAGATGCGTCTCCTCTGGGGCAGCCAGGGCGCCAACAGCAGCCAGGCCCGGCGCTATGAGAAGTTTGACAAAGTCCTCACCGCCTTGTCTCACAAACTGGAACCTGCCATCCGCTCCAGTGAGCTGTGACCCCGGAGATCTTGCCTCTCTGCAGCTGTGGGCAGCGTTGGGGGCAGAGGGGCTCAGAACTTTCCCCAGAGCACCACAGGGACACTGTGATCAGCCCAAGAATGTTCTGGGTTCAATTCCAGGATGTCCTTGCACTTCCAGGGTCCTGAGTGGACTCTGAACTCCATCACACAGCACCGCCCCAAGTCTCCCTTCCAGAAGGACAGGAACCTCTGCTCCTGCACCGGCTTCCGCTGCCGCACGTTTCCGCTGAGGTTCCCTGTCTTTGAGCCACGGGAGGCTCCCCATCCCTCTTCCTTCCTCCAGGTCTCCAGCTTGCTGTAAATAAGTCTGATGTGTAAATACATGTACAGAAACCATGTTCTCTTTCATATAATAAACTTTAATGGCTCTTTCTTTTTTCTTTTTGTTTGTTTTTTGTTTTTCAAGATAGGGTTTCTCTGTATAGCTTTGTAGACCAGGCTGACCTCAAATTTACAGAGATCTGCCTGCCTCTGCCTCCTGAGTGCTGGGACTAAAGGCAGTCGCCACCACTGCCCGGCTTCTAATGGCCCTTTCTTCTGTCCTGTGAGGCCAGGATAGAAAGAGGCACTTTCCTCAGATAAACGGTGAAAAGCTTCACTGGATACCTGGCTAGGGCCATGGACTGTCCAGATTACATGGACTGTCCAGGGTTACAGCAGGCAAGAGGCCACTCCCTGACCTCCAGGAGCCCATGCATTAACAGGGTAAACAATCAGTCCAAGCCAGTGCAGGAGGTAGGGGCCCACTCCTCATTTCTCTGAGCTCAGGGCCTGTCCAGAGAAGCCATAAACAAGCAAGAAGCCCAGAGTTTAGGGTAAAAGATGGTCCAGTGGTTAAGAGCACTGGCAGTTTCCCCAACACCCACATGGTGGCTCATAATCTCTAACTCTAGTTCCAGGGGATTTGATGCCCTCTTCTGGCCTCGATGGGTACCAGACACACATGTAATGGCAAGACACCATACACATAAAATAAAACTAAAATTAAAAAAGTCCTTTAGCTGGGTATGATGACTCACGCCTTTAATCCCATCGCCTTGGTGGCAGAGGCAGGGAGATCTTAGAATTCAAGGTCAGCCTAGGCTGCATAGGGAGACTCCCCCACACTTCAAAAACAATCTTTATAAAAGAATCCCGATTTCCTTTAGAGACTGACATCTGGTGGGAGAAGGGACATTTCCTGAGCCAAAGCAGCAGAACAAGCAAGCAGACAGGGAAACATGGGTTGGTGAGGATGACCCTAGGTCAAGCCATGGGTCTGGAGCCTGTTCATTGGATTCATGACATTGGGGTCACACACCTTTAATCCCAGCACTTGAGAAGCAGGGGCAGGCTGATCTCTGAGTTCGAGTGAGTTTCAGGACAGCAGTGACTACATAGAGAAACCCTGTCTTGAAATGGGAGAGACAGAAGAAAAGGAAAAATTACACTTTTCTGAATTACTCAGACTTCTGAAACTGCATTGCTACCCTCTAATTTACTTATTTAGTCTCTGTGTGCATGCGTGTGTGGAGATCAGAGGACATTTTGCAGGAACTGATTCTCTTTCCACCAGGCAGGCTCTGGGGATTGAAGTCGGGCTTGGTGGCAAGTGTCTTTACCTACTGAGCCATCTAGCGGGCCCTGCTGACAATTTTCTGGGTCAAAACACTTAATGTGACCGCGTCTCGTTGAGTATCACAATCCCTGGATATAGCAGGGTACGTGTATGGCACCTGACACTGGCAGAGTCGCTCTCAAAAATGTGTTATAAGTGACCACCCTTTTGTCATATGTTTTAAAAGAGCTTGGTAAGGGCGCTCAGCAAAGTGTAAGGCTCCGCACAAGTTTTTATTGTTGTTGCGTGACCCTCTTAACAATCGTTTATTATTTCTTTGGTAAGGCCCGCTAGTTACCCGTGACCATGGAAACGCGGGCCACAACCGCGGATTGGGCGGTTCGCGGGCTCCCTCAGGTGGCCTATGTGAGGTACTGCTGCTAGACAACTCCGAGTTTTAGAGACGCGAGAAAGGGGAGCCGGGAGTTGTAGGCAGTGGGCGTGGCTCCTGCGGAGCGGTGCGTACCGGGAGCTGTAGTTTACAGATACAGGCGGTGGGCGGCCTCAGAACGAAATCGGGCCTCAACCGGATGGCGGTTGCTAGGTGCGGCTGCCGGCCCTGGGGCTCGCTTCTCGGGCTGCTCGGACTGGTCTTGGCCACCGCCACCGCCTGGGACGTGGCTTTTCTGCGCTGCAGCTTCGGCTCGTACTGCGAATGCGACTTCTGGCCCGACTTGCCGGGTGAGGGGTGGGAGGGGTGGGCAGCGGGAGCTCGCAGGGGCAAGGGTTTGGGAGAGGGGCTGTGGAGAGAGGCTTAAGACAGCGGGGCGCCGGGTGACTCATGGCAGGCCGCCGCCGAGCGAACTTGTCGCCCGGGGGAGAAGCCTGCGAACTGCCCGGGTCAGGGCTGAACCTGCGACTCGCGCTCTCTTGGTGATTGGCTGGTGCAATCCAGAGATCCGCCTCGAGGGGGCGCTGCCGCGCTGGCCCTTGCTGAGGCGGCTGCTCATGGCTCTCCTTTGGACAAGTATCCCAAAGGTCTCAGACGTGGCCTTTTTCCTTTGAACCTCTCTGCCTTGATGGATTTTGGGTTCTTTTGTTTTGTTTTGTTTATGAGACAGGGTTTCGTTTTGTTTTGTTTTGTTTTGTTTATGAGACAGGGTTTCCTTACATAGCTCTGGCTCACCTGGAACTATGTAGACCAGGCTGGCCTCAAACTCACAGAGATCCACTTGGCTCTGCCTTTAGAGTGCTGCTGGGACTAAGGGTTTGTGCTACCATGCCCGGCTGATCACACACACACACACACACACACACACACACACACACACACACACACACACGCATTTCTCTCTCTCTCTCTCTCTCTCTCTCTCTCTCTCTCTCTCTCTCTCTCTGTCTCTCTCTCTCTGTGTCTCTCTCTCCCTCTCCCCCTTCCTCTCTCTCCCTCCCTCCCTTTCAGCCTTGATGGCTTGGAACTCAGTATGTAGACCAGGCTGGCCTGTAACTCACAGCGATCCCCTGTCTTTGCCTTCCAAGTGCTGGGATTAAAGGCACTTTGGAACTCACTATAAACCCTGGCTAGCCAGTTGTTGGTGGCACACACCTTGAATCCCAGCACTCGGGAGACGGAGACAGGCAGCTGTCTGTGAGTTTGAGGCCAGCCTGGTCTACAGAGAGAGTTTCAGGACAGGCTCCAAAACAATACAGAGAAACCCTGCCTCGAAAAACAAAACGAATGAATGAATGAATGAATGAATAAATGAATAAGCCCCCCCCCCCAGGCTTTGGTCAGCTGGAACATTGCTGCTTCTGCCTCCCGAGAGTTGCGATGACAGACGCGAGTCACCAGGCCTATCATCCGCTTTGATGACACATCCCCTCTGTGGCCCTAGGTCTGGAATGTGACCTGGCCCAGCACCTGGCTGGCCAGCACCTGGCCAAGGCCCTGGTGGTGAAGTCACTGAAGGCCTTTGTACGGGACCCGGCCCCCAGCAAACCACTGGTCCTGTCCCTGCACGGCTGGACGGGCACCGGGAAGTCCTACGTGAGCTCCCTGCTGGCGCAGCGTCTCTTCCGGGGCGGCCTGCGCAGCCGGCACGTACATCACTTCTCCCCCATCATCCACTTCCCGCACCCCAGCCACACCGAGCAGTACAAGGTATGGCGGGCGTGTCCTGATCCACAGAGGCTTCCGACCCACACAGCCAGCTGGAGCCTCAGCCTGTGGTGTCATGGGGGAGCTGGCTCTCTCTGATCCCCCTGTGGACCAGAGGCGCAGGGCAGACATTGCTTACAGAGAACCTGTGTCTGCAGTCTCCGGCCCCCAGTAAGCTCTTAGCCCCGATTTGGTGCACGCTCTGATTACCATCGCTCCCGATCCACCTTAGCTGTCCATACTGTGGGGCAGGTTCAGCCTCCCCGTCACACAAGCCAGGAGCTGTCATGAACACACAATTGGGGGACGTGGACCCGTGTCCCTGCTCTCTTATTGACTGGCTGTGTGGCCTTGGACAAGTCTCTGTGCCTCTCTGGACTGCCCTTTACCATCTGTCTCAAGGGGTTGGTGTGGAAACGAGATCATCTCTCTGCCGGTTTCTTGGCTTGGGAAGTTTGGGGTTGCGGGGTATGTCTTGGACTTCTTTGGAACCCTGTCTCTTCCCCCATAGAGGGAGCTCAAGAGCTGGGTGCAGGGGAACCTCACTGCCTGTGGCCGATCTCTCTTCCTCTTTGATGAGATGGACAAGATGCCCCCTGGCCTGATGGAGGTCTTGCAGCCCTTCCTGGGCCCCTCTTGGGTTGTATATGGGACCAACTATCGCAAAGCCATTTTCATCTTTATCAGGTATGCCCAGCATTGCGAGTAGGCACAGTGGGGACACTTGTCAGAGGTGCAGCTGTCCAGCGTGGGCCATGTTCCCAGCAGGGTACTCTTCCCCAGAGCTTACACAGGCTCTCCCAGCTCCTCTCACTGTCCCTGGTGACTGTCACTAGAGGCGGCTGACTTCTCAAAACCCATCTGGGCTCTGACACTTAGAGCCTTGCTGCTGTGTGGAACCCTGCCTGTTCATCCATCATTGGTATTGGGAGGAAGGGACCAGCTGCCCTACCCCCTGACCCCAGCCTTATTTCCAAGCCGTGACTCCGTAAGCCAGACTGCTGAGCCTGTCTGAGCTCTGTCCTCTGCTTCTGAAGCTGGATCAACACTAATGCCCCACTGTTCTCTTGGAGAAAGCTAATTAAAGGGTACATACATAGATAAAAGGATTCTGTAGCCCCAGTGTGATGGCACACTTGTAACCCAGCACTCTGGACCCTGAGTCGGGAGGACTACTTCAGTAGCAGCCCCACCCCACCAAATTGTTTTGTGAGTTGTAAAGTGCATGCCTATATGTTATGGGGACTTGATTATCATAGGACCTGGAAGGAGAAGGAAATGGGCCACTTTGCTTACTGACTCATGTTAGGTGTCACCCTCTAGTCCCCCAATGTGCCTGAGCCTGGGTTCTTGTGATTTTAGCAATACTGGTGGGGAGCAGATCAACCAGGTGGCCTTGGAGGCGTGGCGCAGTCACAGGGAGAGGGAAGAAATCAGCCTGCAGGAGCTGGAGCCAGCAGTCTCCCAGGCTGTGTTCGACAACCCTCACCGTAAGCTGACTCGGGGACCCTTCCTGGTGGGGCCTCACACTTAAACTTAGTGGGCTGGGCCCTAGATCTGAAGCATTGTCCACTGCAGTATAGTTCTACCCATAAGCCTCTGCACACCGCTCTGCGACCTGTACAGAGCAGATGAACAGCCCCTACCTGAGCAGGCCTGGTGGGTGTGACCGTCTGACTCGAGCTCACCGTCACTTCCGGGCCTGCCTGTCTTCCTGCAGATGGCTTCTGGCGGTCTGGCATCCTGGAGGAGCACCTGCTGGATGCCGTGGTGCCCTTCCTCCCGCTCCAGAGGCATCACGTGCGCCACTGTGTACTCAATGAGCTGGTTCAGCTGGGCCTGGAGCCCCGAGAGGAAGTGATTCAGGCTGTGCTGGACAGTACCACCTACTTCCCAGAGGATGAACAGCTCTTCTCGTCCAATGGCTGCAAGACAGTGGCCTCCCGAATCACCTTTTTCCTCTGAGACCTCTCAGGGGCATCACTGCCTCCACTGTCGGGACACAAGAAACAGGAAAGGCCTGGGCGTCTCCCAGAGGGATCTTTCCTAAGCTGCCTGGCAAGTGGGACCCAGAGCACAGAGCTAAGATGAAGAAGGGTGTTGGCCAGGCCAAAGAAGAAAGGCTTGGAAGGCCTCTTCACCAGGAAACTCCTGGGCACCCCAGATCCTCACAGATTTGCTGTGGCCTGCAGCCTGAGCCTTCTCAATGTGAACTGTAACTCAGGGACAAAGGTTCATGGCTGCTTGTGTCGGGGCTTTTACCTGTATGCCTTGCCTGGCTCCGTGCTCAGATCTCAGCCCATGGCTGGACCTGGGAACCCAGCAACGACAGACTGGATCCTCACAGTTTCACCAAATGGAGGGACTCTAGCTGCCACCTGGGCCTGGATTTCGAAGTTTTTAATTTTGCACGGGAAGAGAACAGGAATAATAAATTTAGCCATGGGATTGGAGGATTGACCAGGCTTGCTTGTTGCCCTTGGAGGAGGCAGCTCTTCTGAAAGCTGGGTGTCGGGCAAAATATTCTCTCCTCAGTGAGGCCTTCACTGGCCGTTTCCCGGAGCAGCATAGTTGGTAGAGGTGGGTGAAACCTCCGTCTTCTCAGGGCTCGGGCTCTGGTCCTTGGAATGCTTGCGTTTGCTGAGCTGTAAGCTCGGTTCCAAGGAGTCAGTATTGCTGGAACTTGTTCCTGTACTGTTAGTGTAGCTTAAGATATCCTCAGCCTTACTGGGTGCTGGACTCTGGTCCTGGGCCTTGCTCAAACTATTGATGCTCCTGCCCCCAACATTGGAAAGCCCACTGGAAGTCTTTGTTAGCTTCTGGCTGTTGCCCTTGGCCTTGGGTCTCCAGCTCTGGGCGCGAACAGCCTTGGCTCTTCTGAGCCTCTGCCTCAGGGTTAGGGCAGGCCTGTTCTTTCTGGGCTTTGGGTACTCCGTGGCTTCTGTTACGCTAGAGCTCTGGCTGGGGCCCTGTCTTCCTGGGCTTTGGGAAGGCTCTGTCTTCCTGGGCTTTGTCTGTGGGCTTTGGGTGGCCTCTGCCTTGCTGGAGTGACGTCTTTGATCATGGGCAGGTATGCTTTCAACGAAGCTCTGGCGTAGGTTCTCAGAGAACTGGGTGACCTTGGGGGCCCTGCTCAGGCTCAGGCTGTCTCTGTGCTCCCTGGGGTCTGAGTTCTGAGGCAGCAAGCGTTCAGAGGACAGTGCAGCTGTGTTGGAAGTGCTCTTATACTCCTGACTGGCTGATTCCTCCATCCCTGAGGTGCTCAGGCTCAGGACTGGGAAAGTGCAGAGAGCAGTCATTAGGCCTGCCTGCCTCTCCAGGCAGCTCTGGGAAAGGGGGGCTTCCAGGCCACCTCCAGCCCGTAGCTGAAGCCTCCCAGCTCCCACCAGGCCCACCTCCTCCATGCCCTGGGCTGTGGCAGGGTGAGAGGCATCTGAGCACCGCTGACCCACCCCCTGCCTCTTGCGGCCCTCTCCAGCCCTGCTCTCCCACAAACCTCCCAACTGTACCCAGCAGGCCCTGCCTGGCTGCTCACGTGCGGCCACTCCCCTCCTCTCAGTTCCTTGAGGCCACCCTGACATCTCGAAAGGTCTAATCACACCCTGCCCTCTCAGGCCCAGTCCCATGCGCTGGCTGGCTCGCTCCCCTAGCTAACATAGGGTTCACACCCTTGGACAAGGATTGGGCCGCTCATCTGTCACCAGTTATTAGGCACAAGCCTGTGTCAGGGTACTTGGACCACCACAGAGCAGTTTGCAGATGATAACCAGACGGAACTGCCACCCTGCACCGAGGTGCACTGGGAACACCCTTCTTTGTGGCTGCCGCCCCACACCAGGGCTTTCCTGCTTTGCCCTTTCAGCCCCTCGTGGTGTGGCTGGCAGCAGTGTTGGAAGTCAGACCTGTTGGGTATGCAGGAGGTGTTTGGCTTAGTTCAGGGAGACACCAAAGGGCAGAGAGAAAGGGGACAGGCTTGAGGGTAACTGGTCCCTGCCCTGTGCTGGGCCGTCCCACGCAGTCCTTACCCATGCTTCCTGAGGTTGGGACTGTGCAGGCAGAGTCACGGCTGTGAACCCAAGGTCCAGTACCTGACCCGGGACCTCTGCTGCTTTGGTCTACTAGGCTTAACAGGAACAAGGACTTACTGCTGAAGACTGAGCCTGAGGAGGTCAGGTCCACGTAGCTGTCCGACAGGGATGACACCTTGCTGAGGATCTTCACCTATAGCAAGAATCAGGCTGGGAGACCCTTGCACCCATAGCCATGTGTCTGGAAGGTCACAGGACGGTCCAGTCATCTCCCCATCCCCCACCAGAGATAGGGTTTCTCTGTGTAGCCTTGGCCTTGAACTCAGAGAGTTACTTGTCTCTGCCTCCGGAGTGCTGGCATTAAAGGTGTACGACACCACTGCCCAGTTTATTTTGCACTTTTTGAAATGTGTATGCACAAGTGATTGTGTGTACACAGAGTACAGGTGCCTACAGAGGCCAGAAGAGGGTGTCAGATATCAGGGAGCTGGAGTTACAGGCAGTTGTGAGCAGCCCCATGTGGGTGCTGGAAAGCAAACTCAGGTCCTCTAAAAAGCAAGCAGTGTTGACTTGCAACCTTTGAGCATATCTCCAGCCCCCCAGCCCTCTCTCTCTCAAGCCTAGATTCCTCACAGACTCTAGGATGGGTGGAGCACCCAGGAGCCCCGGTTGCAGACGGGGTAGGGGGCTAGACAGGCACTACCCCGTGGACGTTGGCTTGCATGGGGGCCAGGCTTCTGTAACTAAAGCGCTGAGCCTGGGGACCAAACGTCAGGACTGAGGAGTCTGATTCCCACATTTCATTCTTGCGTTTGCCCAATGGGGTTACTTCTACTACAACCATTTCTTTTAAAAACCAAAAAACTTTTTTTAGCCAGGTGGTCGCGGCGCACGCCTTTAATCCCAGCACTTTGGAGGCAGAGGCAGGTGGATCTCCGTGAGTTTACAGCTAACCTGGTCTACAGAATGAGTTTCAGGACAGGCTCTAAAGCTATACAGAGAACCCCTGTCTCTAAAAACAAAAACGATTTAATTATTTATTCTTATTTTATGTACATTGGTGTTTTTTGCTAGCATGTATGTCTGTATGAGGGTGTCAGATCCCCTAGAATGAGAGTTACAGACAGTTGTGAGCTGCCATGTGGGTGCTGGGAATTGAATCCAGGTCCTCAGGAAGAACAGCCAGTGTTCGTAACCACTGAGCTATCTTGCCAGCCCCACAGTGTTTCATAGTACAGAGAACAAAGTCTCTGAGCATATAAGCAACCTGCTGGGGCCACGTGTCGCGGAGGAAAGGACCCGTGGCGTCCTTCACCACAGTCACGCACGTCTGCAGGTGGGGAGAGAAGGGAAAGCCGAGAGGCCCAGTTCAGCAGGTCCCACCTGTTGGCTACCCCCTCCCCCCCTCACTGTGCCCATCTCGGCTCATCCGGCCCAGAGCTGATGCCCACAATGACCTCAGCGGGCACACAGACGCACGTTTGTTCTTGCCTATTTGAAGTGAGCTAGGAAGGGCACTGGTACAGCATTCACCACAGCTGCATGGCATCTTTCAAACTTGATGTGTGTTGGCAGCAAAACAGGTTGATAGACCAGGTGAGACATTCCTTGGGTGAACTATACACATGTATCCCTTAGGGAAAGGAACCAGAGACAGGACAGCAGGCCACACTTGTTCATTTAAAGAAAAGGTAGACCTCACATACGGAGTTAGGAATTGGGGCCACCTTGTGCAGAAATGGGGGGTGGGACCTAGGCCTAGGAGGATGCATGCACAGAGTCTTCTGGAAGCTAAGAGGATGTCCATCCACGTGTGTGATGAGGCCATGGCAGACTCAGTTTGTAAAAATTCAGCTATCCCTTCACTTAAGACTTGTGCACTTGGGGCTGGAGAGATGGCTCAGAGGTTAAGAGCACTGGCTGCTCTTCCAGAGGTCCTGAGTTCAATTCCCAGCAACCATATGGTGGCTCACAACCATCTGTAATGAGATCTGGTACCCTCTTCTGGCGTGCAGGCAGAACATTGTATACATATTATTAATAAATAAATAAAATCTTAAAAAAAAAAGACTTGCGCACTTAAAATTGAGTATGGAGGCTCAGGCCTGTAGTCCTAGCACTTTGTAGGCAAAGGCAGGGCGATTGCTGAAAGAGTGAGGCCTGCCTAAGCTACATAATGAGTTCTAGGCCAGCTGGGCTACATAGCAAGACACTGACTCAAAGACAAACAGGCTGGGGGCCAGGTGTGGTGTTGCAGGTCTTTAGTCCTGGCCTGGGAAGGCAGAGGCAGGAGATTTCTGAGTTTGAAACCAGCTTTGTCTATTAGTGAGTTTCAGGCTAGCCAGGGCTGCGTAGTGAGAACCTATCTCAAGAAGTAATAACAGGCAGGGAGGAGACATCAGTAGGTAAATGCTCACTAAGTGGGCGTGAGCACCTGAGTTGAAATCCCCACCTTCATACAATCTGGGAGCAGATGGCTGCGTGCACCTGTAACACCAGCACTGAGGAGGTGGACACAGGACGCTTTTTTGTTTGTTGGTTTGGTTTGGTTTTGGTTTTTCGAGACAGGGTTTCTCTGTATTATTTTGGAGGCTGTCCTGGAACTCACTCTGTAGACCAGGCTGGCCTCGAAGGACACCAGCCTTGTTCTCTGGCTTCTATGTGGGCAGAGAGCATCACACACACACACACACACACACACACACACACACACACACACACACACACACAGTACTCTGGCTTCTATGTGGGCAGAGAGCATCACACACACACACACACACACACACACACACACACACACACACAGTACTTGTCCATGCTACAGTAAGTGAAAAGACTTTATGAACAATTTAGTAAGGAAAGCTAGCCACAAGAGGCCAGCGTCCCAAGCAGAGTGTGACGTGTGACCATCTTACTATTAGAGAGGGGGCATGAAGTTGCCTGTGCTCACAGGGCACATATGTCAGCCCCTTATCACTGGAATCACTTTGCTCTGTAGTTCAGCCTTCTTGAGTACCCAGGAATTTTTACAGCTAATCTAGCACCACTACGCGCTCCACCTGGCTCCCTCCTGCATCTGCCATCTATGGGGGCGGGGACCTCATGTCCTGTGTTACTTGGGCCAGAGTTACACCCCCAGCCCCCTGTGCTGAGGTTCTACATGCACTGTGTGGCACTCGGGAGACAGAGACAGGCGCATGTCTGAGTTTGAGGCCAGCCTGGTCTACAGAGTGAGTTCCAAGACAGCCATGGCTGTTACACAGAGAAACCCGTGGGGTGAAGGGTGAGGGGGAGCAGATCTGACCATACTACTCTCCTGCTGAGAAGACAGTCACACAGCGCACCCCTTGCTGTGTCCCCATCTCAGACGTGGGCGGCCACACTAGACTCCCGGAGTCTCGGCCCTGGCCAACGCCCCACTCACCTTTTTCTCCTCTGCTCCCTCTCTCCTGAGATCAGTCTTATCTCTCAGGGTCTTTCCCTGCGGGGTCTGGGGAGTAGCTCCTTCCTCTTCTGGGATACCAGTGAAAAGCTGCTCCCAACTCCTGGATTCTATCAAGGCTCGGGCTTTCTGGCGCTCCATTAGCCTCTTCCTGTCAAGTCATGGTCCCAGGGCCCTTAATCGGTCTCTGAAATCCAGCCTGCTGTCCCCAGGGACCCGACAGTGCAGGCCTTACGAGGCAACTGGACAGAGTTCTGAGTCCCCCCCTGCTCCCACCACTACCCAGAAGTCCCACAACCTTACGCCACGATGCTTTGTGGGTGGCTGGCCTTCGGACCACTTTGTATCATCTGACTGAGCTGGAGCTTGGCCAGTTGGGCCACTTGGCTATTAAGCACTTCCTCCACAGACATACCAGGAAAGAGGTTGGTCATCACTGGGGTTATCTGCCAGGGAAACCGTGACCAGAGGGACAATGAGCACAGGGATGAACAGGGAAGGCCTCTGTAAACTTTCTAAACTGGGGCTTTTGGCTATAGAAGGAGACCAAGAAAAATGGACGGTTCCCTAATGGGGAGCAGAGCCTGGCTTCAGAGCAGCTGGACCTGTGCAAGTCTCGCTCTGAACCTGTGGATGGAATGGAGGGGTGATGCTGGTGGGTCAGAGGGCTCGTGGGAGTAGCAGCTCATTGTCACCGGTTTCTTTTAGGGACAGGAACAGCAGTCAGATGGCAAGGGCGTGAGCCTTCCTGGCTCAGCAGGAGACCACCTTTGGAAGGTTGGGGTTCAGGAGCAGCACAGTGGCAATGTCCTGGCGGGCCCCCAAAGTGTTCTGCAGCAGCTTTCGGCTCCTGGCCCGGTGCAGGTAGTACTGGGCCTTCTCTGGGTTGTGCTTTATGGCTGTTGAGAAGTGGTCCTCCGCTCTCTGGAACTGCCTGGGGGTCAAGCCCAAGGCTATGTGAGCTGGGCCACTCAGGAGGGATGGGCACCAGGGAATTGAAGGAAAACTAGGGGCCTCTGCTTCCGCCATGCCCTTCCCTCCTACTCCCAACCACACCCTTATGGACCTGACACTTGGATACTATGACTTTGGTATACTCTAATATTTTTACATTTCTGTTCTTTGTTTTGGAGGCTGTTCTGGAACTCACATTGTAGACCAGGCTGGCCTCGAACTCACAGAGATCCACCTGCCTCTGTCTCCTGATTGCTGGAATTAAAGGCATGTGCCACCAAGTCCAGTTTTTTTTTAATTTCAGTTTTTTTTTTTGAGACAGGGTTTCTCTGTGTAGTTTGGAGTCTGTCCTGGAACTCACTCTGTAGTGATTCACCTGTCTCTGTCTCCCAAGTGCTAATATTAAAGGCATGGGCCACTACATTTATGGATAACGTTTAAAAAAAAAACTTATTTGGTATACAGTGTTCTGCCTGGAGGCCAGAAGAGGGCACTAGATCTCATTACATGTGGTTGTGAGCCATCGTGTGGTTGCTGGTAATTGAACTCAGGACCTTTGGAAAACCAGATAATATTCTTAACCACTGCGCCATCTCTCCAGCCCCTCGATAACATTTTAAAAAAATGTGTGTGTGTGCTGCCCTGCATGTATGTTTGGGAACCATTTACATGTTTCATCACTTGGAACTGGAGTAACAGATAGCTGTGAGTTGCCACGTAGGTATTGGAAGTCAACCTAAGACCCAGAGGAATCTTTAGAGGGAGGCCACTGGGAGAGTAGGCAGGCCTTGGAAATACATTCTAAGGCCAGCAGCAGTGGTGGCGCATGCCTTTAATCCCAGCACCTGGGAGGCAGAGGCAGGCTTATTTCAGTGAGTTCAAGGCCAGCCTGGTCTACAAAGTGAGTTCCATGATAGTCAGGGATGTTATATAGAGAAACCCTGTCTTGAAAAACCATAAAAACAAACAAACAAAAAACCCAGTAACAACAACAAAAACAAAACAAAAAACTCCTGTCCAGGAGACAACTAGCAGGTGGGCCCATTCCCTGCCAGCCACCCTCCTTGGCCACGCCCTCTGATCACACTCTCCCAGGGTACATCCCCCTCACCCCTGGACACCTGCGAGTCTGCTCACAGAATCCCATCTTCTCCTGCAGCACACCCATCCGTAGGTTGGCTCCCTCGTCCTGTGGGCTCAGTGCCAGCGCCTGCTTGTAGTCCGCCTCCGCGAAGGCCAGGTTGCCCAGCTGGAAGAAGCAATCTAGGAGGCCCAGGGTGAGGTGGAGTTCATCCCCAGCTTCAGAGCAAAGCCAGCGCCCAGCCTCAGGCGTTAGGAGGACCTGCCCCCCAGCTCACCCCCACGGTTGATGTACAGGCCCTTCTCGTTCTGCTCGTCCCTGATGGCCTTGTTCAGCAGCAGCACACCCTCCTGATAGGCGCCCTGGATGTAGCAGTGCACGGCAAAGTCATTGTAGGTCAGCAGCAGCTGGCGCTGTGCCTTCTGCGCCAGGGTGTCTCGGCTGTCAGTCACCATGTCCAGCGCCTTCAGGAAGTCTTCCACAGCTGGGTCAAATTGCTGGAGCCGTCTGTGCAAGGTACCCCTGTGGTGGTGGACATGGCAGATAGCGGAGTTCACAAGGACCAAAGCACCCCATTTGGCTAGAAGGCCACTGCTCGCCCTAGCCCTCTGATCCATGACCTTTGACTGTATTCATGAACTCTGCCTCAAAGCCCTAGGTCCGTCTGCTGGTGCTGGCCCACAGTTGCTGCCTGGAAAACCTACTAGTCACCAGTATTTATTTCTCACTGAGAGTTTCCGTTTTGGGAACCAGCTGTTTACTAGAGCCTATGCCCAGGAGTCAGCTCTCCTTTCACATTTATGTAGGCTCTGGGAATTGAACTTGGGTCAACAGGTTTGTTCCTCAAGCTGTTTTACCCACTGAGTCACCTCACATGGTCCTGTTCGTGCCTTTGTGTACACACACTTGAGCCAACCATTTAGATGAGAAACCCGTGATTAGGGAGATTGAATGGCACCAGATCCTTGGGGGACCAGATCCAACTCCTGGTCTCGGGCCCTCCCAGCATGAGGTACTCAGCAGGCGTGGCTGGGGTAGGAGTCATAGGCTATCCTTGTGCCGTGCCCTCAACTGAAAGCAGGGGAAGGTCATTAGGGGCCAGAGAGAGGAACTGAGGCCCGGGGAGGGTCAGAGGCTCTCCTGAGACCATACAGCCGATCTGCAGGAGGACCAGCCCCTCTTCACCCTGGTACCGGAAGAGGAAGAGGTTGGGGTCCAGCGGGTTGTTCTCAATGGCACAGCTGATACGTTTCAGTGCACGGTGCAGTTTGCCTTGCACGGCCAGGATGCTGGCGTCCTGGAGGCAGTGCTTGGCCTGGTCCACCATCATCTGGAGCAGCCCTTCGGCCTGTGGGTGCTCAGGATCCAAGAGCAAGGCGCTTCTAAGGTCCTGATAGCAGAGCTTGGGCTGCAGGGGTGGAGGGGTGGCATGGTGGGGTGGTGCTGTCACCGGAGGGGCAGAGAAGGACAGGCCTCTAGGTGGCAGCATCACTCCGTCCCTCCCGTGTCCCCTGCATCGCTGGTCTACATTTCCCTCCTCCCCAATGAGGCGGAAGCATTGAGGAAAATCCATGCCCAGTGTCCTTTCCAGGCGTGACCTCACTGAGCAGGGTCAGCCTCTGGTTTGTGCTAACTTGTTATCTCCAGAGTCGTGTGGAGAGGGCAGTGCTGCCTCGTCCTCCACTCCCTGTCCTTTACCCAAAGGCAGCTGTGACCCAGGACAGACTGAGGTCTGGGTACCAGCAGAGAACATCCCTAGGCAAATGCCTTCCACTGCTGGGCAGCCGGCGGGGCGCTCCAGTCTTAGCAAGCCCCCCATTCTCCTTTGGGTAACTGATTGGAGGTGACACTGGGGGTTCCGGGCCACACTGCCCTGCCCACCGTGCACTACCTTCTGGAAGAAGTTGTAGATCCGGGCCCGGAGGATGTAGATGTCTGCACTGGCCCTGCCTTGCTTCACCTCCCTGGTGACGAGTGAGAGGCAGTCCTGATGCCGATTGAGGGCCAGCAGGCAGGCTACGCTGGGGGCAGAGAGTGGGCAGGGTGCCCTGAGCCCGGGCAGTAAGAGGCTGCTGGGCCAGGGGAAGGCGCTGCACTCACCAGCGGTAACTGTAGGAGGCGTTCTGGGGCTGCAGATCAGAGGCTTGCAAGAAGATATACAGGGCCTCCTGGAAGTCGCACAGGTCATACAGGCACTGGCCCTGGGGAGACGGGGATGGTCAGCGCTGCTTATAACTCCAGCTCTGATGGAGAGAGACTCCAAGGAGCAGAGGGACACAGCAGGGCAGAGCTCTGCGGGGCTGAGTGGGACGGGGTAAGAGCAGCGGGCTCTGGCCAAAGGTGTGGCACTCACAAGCATCCCTGGTTCAGGTGGGGGAAAGAAGGCTCAGAGAGGTGAAGTGACTTTCCCAAGGTCACACAGGAAGTGAGATGGCAGGTCACAGGCCCTTGACACCTTGGACAGTGGAGTGCCTTGAGGGCTGCCCCTCCCCCCTTCTCCTCTGGTATGTTTGTTAGTGTTTCTCACTGTAGCCCTCACTGGTCTGGAACTGTGCCACCCGGGCAGACCTTGAACTCAGTGTCTGGAGTGTTGGGACTGCAAACCTGAGCCACCATGTCTGGCCCAATGTTTCTTTTCTATTACATTTATTTATTCTGAGTATGGGTGACGGCAGCCCCTGCTTCAGCACACGTGTGGGAGTCCTTGATAACTTGCAGGAGTCAATTCTCTTTCCACCACGTAGGTCTCAGATGTCAGACTCAGGCTGATGCCCGAGGGGCAAGCGCCCTGACCCTCTGAGGCATCTCACTGGCCCCAAAGCTTCTTTGTAAGAACTGAATGATTTGGTGCTTTGTGGTACTGGGGCTCTAGCTCAGGCCTTTGCTACGCTAGGCAAATGTTCCACCACTGCTACACCCCAACTCCACTAATCCATTTCTGCCCAATATTTGATCTTCAAAAACAAAAACCAGATATTGCTGGGACTGTGGAGACACACACCTTTAATCCCAGCACTCATGAGGCAGAGGCAGGTGGATCTCTGTGAGTTGGAGGCCAGCCTGGTCTACAGAGCAAGTTCCAGGAGAGCCAATGCTACACAGAGAAACCCTGTCTCGGGAAAAAAAAAAAGCCTCAGAACAACAGATATTGAGGGGTTGGGGGTAGTGAGATGACTCAGCGGGTAAAGGTGCTTTGTCACCAAGCCTGATGACCTGAGTTTGATGCCCAGGGCCCACACAGTAGAAGACAACTGTCACATGTTGCCTTCTGACCTCCTATGTGCACGCATGCATGTACACACACACACACACACACACACACACACACACACACGAATAAATACATGTAAAAATACATTTTAGACAATTAACTTTCACTTAGTACTAGGCATAGGACCCAGGGCCCCCTGTATGTGAGACAGGCATCCGGCATCCTACCACTGAGCCACACCCCCACGGACTCACACAAATCAAACTTCAGATTCAGTTCAGTCATGCTCGCCCCATTTTGCTTGCTCAACTTTTCCGTGGGGCTGGTGGTGACCGTACTGGACAGTGCAGGGTGGGTCATATCCCTACTGCAGAGTTCCATTCAGACACCCCTGCCTGTCGAGATTAGTAAACCAGCGGGGGAGGCGGCAAGAGGGGGTGCGTGGGACACAGACACGAGGACCAGGAGGCTGATTCCAGGAAGGCTCCCTGCAGCTGAGGGCAAGTCTGGTGTGAGCCGTGCGCTCCTGTATGGGTGGGAGCAGCCCAGGCACCTGCAGGTAGAGCACGAAGGCCAGCCGCTCCAGGTACTTGCTGTTCTCCGGCTGGTAGGAGTAGGCCCTGCGCAGGTTCTGCAGGGCAGAGGAGAAGTCGCAGAGCTGGATGAAGGCTTCAGCACGGAAAATATAGAATTCAACCTGAAGGCAAAGAGACCCGGGCTGCTGTGTCCTCTCTGTCGCCTGCCCCTCGGGGGCAAGGAGGGCGACTGTTTTGGCTCCTCAAGGCTGAAGAGAATTTGAGGGTCCTGGGAGGGAGGGAAGGGCTTCCAGGGGCCACCGTGACTCAGTCTCCTCTTACCAGCTTGGGGTTCAGGTGGAGAGCCCGGGAGAAGAAGAGCACAGCCATCTCCCAGTCCTCCTGCTGTAGGCACTGATGGCCTTGGTGGTAGCTGTGAGGACAGGAGAGTTGGGGCACTGGGGCTGGCCTTGATCTTGGACCGGCCCGGCGCACTCTCAGGGTCACGGTGGGGCAGGTGGGAGGGAGGCAGAGCTAAAGAGGCTGGAAAGGCAAGCAGGGTTCCAGGGAAGGCAGGCTGGCCTTCCTGGAGCTCTCAGATTTTTATCCTCTTATCCATCAGGGTCCGCCGAGGCCCAGAGAGGGACAGTGGCCAGCTCGGGGGCTGTACTCCATGTTAATGGCCGTGTGGAGCAGGAACCTGGGGCTGGAGACAAGGAAGTCACTCACTACTCTCTGACTTTGACAGGCACCGTTGACCCTGTCATCCTTGGTTTCACGTCAGTAATGCTGTAGAACACCTGGCTGGTCCCAAAGATGCGTTGCAGGGTCTTCTCTCGGGCCTCAGGGACCTGCAGCCTTGGGATTTTCTTTGAGCGGGCATTGTTAGGCTCCTAGAACCAAACCAGAGGCAATGAGCTTGGAAGGCCTGGGGACCACCCACACACTTCTTCGCTTTCCCGGGACTTGGCCTGGTGGTGGAGAGGTGTGGGGTCGCCCCCTGGCGGTGGAGAGGCGTGGGGTCGCCCCCTGGCGGTGGAGAGGCGTGGGGTCGCCCCCTGGTGGTGGAGAGGTGTGGGGTCGCCCCCTGGTGGTGGAGAGGTGTGGGGTCGCCCCCTGGTGGTGGAGAGGTGTGGGATCGCCCCCTGGTAGAAGGCACGCCCGGTCTGGGGGTCAATGATCCTCCAGCTGTTCCAACATTTCTCTAGCCCTGCCTCTCTCCCTCTCCTGTGGTCAAGATCAGGGGACGAGAGTCCTGGTGGCCACTGCACCTCTGCTCTCCTCCTGGCCTTTGCCTGCTCTCATTGGTGCTCTAGCTGCTCAGCGCCCCAAGTCAGACCCTGCGCCACGTCTAGGTTGTGAGGTTACTTGTAATCCTCTGGGACACTCACACTCCCTGACTTCTCATTTCTATGTGGTCACCCTACCCACTGTCAGCATAATCAGGGACCTATGTATCATCTGCCCTCAAGTGCTTCCCTCCTCAAAATCTCTCCATTGGGCTGGGCCGTGGTGACACACACCTTTGATACCTGTGTAGGGTGAAAAGGACCAAGGAAAAAAACACCCTGCCCCTGACTAGACCCTCAGGAGACCTGGGCCAAGGAAAAACATCCTGACCCCAACATGACCCCAGGAACAGGGATTGAAATCCCGCCAATCCCTGAGATCAGGCTATGAAAACTCACCAATCCCAAGCCACCCTGGGAAGCTCCGCACCCCTCCCCACAAGAAGCCCTATGTAAGCTCTGCACCCAGTATTACTGAGCTTCTCACCCTGAGGCCACTACTCTCCTTGGTTTCCCTTCCCAGTAAATCTCTGAGTGAGGTTTGTAGTGAGGTGTGACTTTCTTGTTGTTGTTTTTGTTGTTGTTGTTGTTTGTTTTCGAGACAGGGTCTCTCTGTATTGTTTTGACGTTTTTTGCCTGAGTTGAGTCTAGCTGTAACAACTGTTGCCAGAGCGAGCAGAACTGCAGAAACACTTTCGCTGGGCAATCCTTCCCCTAGACAAGCAGAGCTGTAACACTTCTGGAGCAGAATTGAAACACTTGCGCTGTGGAAACTTGTAACCGAGTCGTTACACTTGCATTGAGGAAAACTTTTCCTGACGCAAATCTGTAAGTTGCTATGCTTACAGTGATTTTTGTGGTATTCCTTGGCTCCTGCCTGCCAGGATTCTTTACCATAGCAGCCTGCACTTGAGAACCAGAGGCAGGCAGATTTCTCCGAGTCAGAGGCCAGCCTGGTTTACATCATGAAATCCTGTCTATAAAAAAACAAAACAAGCAGGGCAGTGGTGGCACACGCCTTTAATCCCAGCATTCAGGAGTCAGAGGGGGGCGGATCTCTGGGTTAAAACCCATGCTCGTCTACCGAGCGAGTTCCAGGACAGCCCGGGCTACACCAAGGAATCTTGTCTTGAGAAACCAAAACAACAACAGAAACAGAACAATTAAAAACCTCTCTGCCCTCCCCTTCCGGAGTAGGAGGCCAGTCGCTGTGCTCCCCTCCCACACTGCAAACGATGGACTCTCATAGGCCTTCCTGACGGGCTTGCCCTCCTCTGCCTCGGCTTCCTGCTTCTCGGCTGCCCTCACCTTGCGTTTGTCTGTCATGACGGGTTTCCAGACTGGCCTCGGGGTTGAGCTAACTCCCTGAGTGCCTGCCTCCTCTGTTGCTAGGCACCAGCTCCAGGATGCCCAGAGGCCCCGCCCATCTGGCCTCGAGAGTCAATAGAAACGTAGCTGGACCGGCTAAGGTCTGAGACAAGGAAAGAACCTGTCGGCTGAGCGCGCCCAGGCTGGGCGGGGTGAAAACGTGGGGAGGCGCGGCGACCCGGGGAGACGCGACGCCGGGAGAGGCGCTCGGAGGAGCCTCCGTGGCCGGCGCCCCGCCCACCTCCGCCCCGCAGAAGCGTGGAGGCCGCGGAACTCCGCCCGGATTGGCCGCCGCTGGACGCGTGGCGACGCTATTGGCTTAGAGCTGCCTGACGTCGAGGGGGCGGGGTCCTGGCTGTGACTTGGGGCGGCATGCTGCGGCCCGGCCCTTTCCGCTCCGGGATGCGGCGGAGTTGGGCCTTGAGGCAGCGCGTTTCGGAGGCTCGGTTCTCCGGGAAGCGGTGGCTGGTGAGTGGGGCGCGGGTGACTACGCAGGGGTTCGGGGCTCGGCTCCGATGCTGCCCCGCCTCCCGGGTAAGCTCTCCCCTCGTCAGCCCCACCCCCTCCTTCATATTGGTTTTTAGGTTACGTTTGTGTTTGCACGCGCGCGGTGTGGAGGGCAGCTGGGGAGCGGGTTTGTCCCCTGCCATCACGTGGGCCCCGCGGGGCCGAGCCTAGGTTGTCAGTCAGGACAGCAAGTGCCCTTACCTTCTGAGCCGCGCTCCTTGTCCGTTTCTCTACTTAGCCAAGTAGGCGGCCGGCGCCAGACTTAGGCGTTCTGCTCCTGCATCAGGGCGCGGCACCCCCGGCTTTGTGGGGCCTCCCGGAGTCCCCCGCGCGCCCCTGCCCGTCCCCGGCGCCCCTCTCCGCGTCCCGAGCACTGTCCCGTGGGCGATAGGATTTCTGTGGTGTTGCCTGCAGGTGGCTGGCCTGGGGAACCATGGCATGCCTGGCACGCGGCACAGCGTGGGCATGGCAGTGCTGGGCCAGGTCGCGCGGCGCCTGGGAGTGGCGGAGAGCTGGGCTCGCGACCCTCGCTGCGCTGCTGACCTCGCCCTGGCCCCGCTTGGGGATGCCCAGCTGGTGCTGCTCAGGCCGCGACGCCTCATGAACATCAACGGGCACAGCGTGGCCCAAGCTGGTGAGTTGTGGGCTTCACAGAGAAGAGGGCCCCGGGGTCCAGAGAAGGGTTTCAACTGTGACATGTCCCTGGTGAGCCCCAGACTTGGGAGCCTCTGTCTTTCTCTTCTTTTCTTCTTTCTTCCTTTTCTTCCTTTTTGTCTAGACACTTTCTCTGTGAAACAGTCCTGGCTTCCTGAAACTCGCTCTGTAGACCAGGCTGGCCTCGAGCTCACAGAGATCCGCCTGCCTCTGCCTCCCGAGTGCTGGGATTAGAGGCGTGAGCCACCGCCTGGCTGAGAGCCTGTTTGTATATGGGGGGTCTTTGTGATCCCTCTCAGCAGACAGGTGGTAACTTCGGTGTTTTCCCTGTGCCAAGCGGAGCTGTTTGGGCTGACTGCGGAGGAGATCTACCTGGTACACGATGAGCTCGACAAGCCCCTGGGAAAACTGGCTCTGAAGCTGGGGGGCAGCGCAAGGTGAGGCTGGCATGTGCTCAGGTTCCGCTAGGGGTGCTGGCCTCTGTTGGGGTGGAGTAGGGCTGCCGAGCCTACCTCTGTGGGCTGGGCCGCTCTGAAGGAAGTCTGGGCGAGGGCAGGGAGGGGGCTGCCTCAGGAAGCACTGACTGCTCCTCATATCCCTTCAAGGGGCCACAATGGCGTCCGTTCCTGCATTAGCTGTCTGAAATCCAGTGTGAGTTTCCCCTTTCTGCCCTGGGTGGGGGTGGCCAGCATGGGTGTCAAATGAATCTCACCAAGGCGCCCTCATCCCTCTGGTACCCCCACAGGCAATGCCGAGGCTACGGGTAGGCATCGGACGCCCCACACACCCTAATATGATACCCGACCATGTCCTGGGCTGCTTCTCCCCTGAGGAGCAGGAGCTACTGTCCCCATTGCTGGATCAGGCCACCGACCTGCTTCTGGACCACATCCGTGCTCGAAGCCAGGAACCACCATCGGGCCTCTGACTCCAGCGGACATATCTACCTGTTAGACTGACCAGACACAGCCACAGAACTGCCATGACAGACACATGTGGTACCCACTGTTTTTATAACTTCTGGGTGGCCCCAGGCCACTTGCAGATTGAAGGAGGGATTGTAGCCACAACAGTCTATTTCTGTAGTGGCTTGGTCTCCGTGCACTACTTACGGTGTAGAAAAGGTTTAGGAAGACTGAACTTTCTGAATCTTCTGAGAGCACCAGATGGGTAGATCTGCAAGATTAAATGATGCTTGCTTGGGATCTGAAGCCTCCTTGGGGAGGGGGGCTAACCCCAAAGCCCATCCCTTACCAATGGGGTGGGGACAAAGGGCTGTAGCAGACCCTCTCCCGAGGGTAGCATAGCCTTAGCCTGTTTCTGTCAGGCCATTTTACAGGTGGGTCAGAGAGGTCCCAGCATATCCCTGAAGCCACCCAAGTCTACAGCATGGAAAAACTAGGGCCAGTTGTCAACTTGCTGTCCGCAGGGCCCCTGGCACTCCTACCTCGTTAGTGTTCTGTAGCTGGCAGATGCCCATCCGGCTGACATAGGAGAGAGACCTGAGGTCCTGGGGGTTGGGTGGGATGTGGACGCGGCGGGGCACCAGCCCGAGGTCGCCTGGCTTGTAGGTTGTGATGGCAGAGAGCTGCTGCAGCAGAGACGCAGCCGCTGTCCTGGATGTCTGGGCCCTGGTTTGGCTGTGGGAAGGGACCCAGGGTCATCACCTGATCCCCACAAGAGGAGGTTCTGAGAGAGGTGGGAGGGGCTACCCGCTCACCTCTCTTTGGGTGTACCCTGGGGACGCTTGTCCTGGTGGCAGCCCACGTCCAACTGTGGTTTGGAAACCATGGCTGAGCTGAGCAGAGCCAACAGCTGCTGCAGCATCTCCTTGCGCTGCAGTTGGAGCACGACATCAAAGTCGCCATCCTCTGCGTCTGTTCGCATCTGTTGGTGTGGTGTAAGATGGGGTGAACACCAGGGGCCCAGATACCCATCCCCCAAGTGACAGGATTAGAGGTGCGCACTGCCACACCCAGCCTTGTTATTTTAAGATGGAGTTGCCCGGGCTGGCCTTGGACTCAGTCTGTCGCCCCAGCCAGGTCTTGAATTTGTAATTCTCCTGCCTCAGCCTACTCAGTAGCTGGTATGATCAGACCCAACTCTTGAGAAAAGGAGTCTGGCCAGGAGCCCCTCAGGAAGGAGACTCTCTAAGCCTGGCCCTGGCGGGTCAACTTCTGTCCTTGGTCCCCTGGCCTCTTGGTGTCTCCTGCCACTTGCTCACCTGCACAATACTGTGTAGGAGGGAGGTGGCCTGGGCCAGGACTGCTTTCAGGCTCCCGTGAGCCTTCTGTTCCTCAGTCAGCTCCTGCTGTAGCCGGTTCAGCTCCGCCTGCTGCTTGCTCAGCTGCTGTTCCAGCTGCTCTTTCTCACCCCTGGTCCAGGACGAGAAGCCCACAGCTCGCCCCATCGCTTGGCCCTGGCCAGCGCCACCTCTTCTCCAGGCCCCGCCTTTTCTGTGCAGCCCATCTAAATCCAGGCTTCAACTTGTCTGACACACCACACCCTGAGGGGATTCCCTGGCAGGCTTCCACCTGCTTCCACTCAACTCAGGCTCACCTCAGGGTCTGGTTGTCCTTCTGCAGCTTCTGGAGGTTTTGCTCCATTTGGGACAGCAGGAGGCGCAGCTCCTCTGCCTCCTTCGTGCCCTGCCTCTGCTGGCGGCACTTCTCTGTCAGCATGAGGATGACCTGCAGCAGTGGGCAGGGGTCCGTGTGCAGACATAGGGTGGGACCCCTCACGGCACCCCCACCCAGGGCCTCACGACTTGGCATGGGGTCTGCCCTCGTTTCACACGAGGGAGGCATGGTGGTCATACCTTCTGGTGGCCTCTGCTGTTTCTGGCCATGATCTCTTGGGTGCTCTCCAGCAGCTCCACCTGTTGGTAGAGCTTGTCCTGGATGCCCCGGAGGTGCTCATTCTCTTGAAGCAGCTGCACACCTTGCTGAGACATCCAGGACAGCTGCAATGTCACATTGTTGTTCTCTAGGATGGCCCTCCTGGTTGTCTCCCACATCTGGTTAGTGGCCACCTTGCGGAACTCAGTGGCCACCAGGTTCACACGCTGGATGATCTCTTTCCTTAGCCTGACCAGGCGGGAGAGGTTGGAAGGAAGTCAAACAGTGGGTAGAAGTCTTGGTACCCCCTTTTTTGGGTGGGGATCTAAGAGTACCCAGGCTTTTTCCTCAGAGTCTGTGGGCCTTTGGAATTTGAACCATTGAAACACATTCTTAATAAATGATTAAAGTAACAAGAAGGGAGCTGGCTGGGAGCTTACTCTTTCTTCCTGTTCCCCAGTAAATCCCAGCCAGGGTTTTGGGGACAGTCTGGAGTCTACGATCCCCTTCTAGGAAGTGAGAGCTGGAGCCTGGTGTGTGGCCCCGCAGGTCCCCAGCGCCCACCTGTCCTTGTCCAGCACAGACTTCTTCTCCAGGTTGTACACGTAGTCCTTGTACTCGCTCTCCTGCCTCTGCAGCTGCTCCTCTAACATCAAGTACTTGTCCATGAGCTCCTCTTTCTGCAGCCGGAATTCTTCCAGGGCAGCCAGCTTTCCCCCTGCCATCGGGGCACAAGGCCGGTGAGCGGCCTCTGAGGGCCATGAGTGACCCTCGGTCTCAACCGTGCCCGTGTCTTCCTGCCCGTCTCTCCCCACACGTGTGCTTCCTGCTCCAACAGGACCAGGCTTTCCATGCTGGCCCTGCTCATACACGGCCACCCTTGGAGAGCCTTCCCACCCAGTCTACTATCCCAGCTTTGTCAGCCCATCTCCTCAAGATACCTCCCCACTTTTTTTTCTTTTTTTTTGTGGTTTTTCGAGACAGGGTTTCTCTGCGGCTTTAGAGGCTGTCCTGGAACTAGCTCTTGTAGACCAGGCTGGTCTCGAACTCACAGAGATCCGCCTGCCTCTGCCTCCCGAGTGCTGGGATTAAAGGCGTGCGCCACCAACGCCCAGCATTGATACCTCCCCACTTGAGAGTGACAGTGACAGCTGAATCTGAGCAGACAGCTCTCAGTGCCCTCTTCCAGATGGGTGGCAGAGATAAGATCCTCCATCTCTTTTGAAGCACTTCTCTATCTACAAGCTGGGGAAGAGGGACCATTTTTGGCCTTGGGATGCATGGACAATTAAGGCAGATAGCACTCAGTTGTTACTTCTCAAGGTGGCTGTGTTAGTCCCAATTCCCAGTGAGCCCCTGCCTCACTCAGGGACAGCTGTGGGCTTGGGCCTATGGCCTTCGGTGGCAAATTCACACAGGTGTGCTGACTGCCCTTGTCTCCTCACCTAGGGCAATGTTTTCTGTGGTGAGCTGGTCCTTGGTCTCCTGGAATTCGTGGCGCACTTGGGCCAGCTGTGCCTCAAAAGCATCCTTCTCCATCTCCTTTGCCAGCTGTAGGCTCTGCAGCTGGTCATTGAGGTCGGTGATCTCATCCACCCTCTGGTTGAGTGTGCGCTTGAGGAAGGCCACGATTTCTTTCTTGTTGTTGGCCAGCTGCTCGAACTCCTGGCGGAAGAGCTTCTCTTGCACAGCCAGCTCGTCCCACTTCCGCTGGTACCTGGAGTGGGGTGGAGGTGGGGTCAAGCCTGGACCTCCTTTTGTAAAGGGCCGCTTGAAGTTACGCGTGCCCGAATCCAGCCTCATGCACTAAAGTGCCTCACGCCTGGAGGCCTTGACATCAACCCGTGCTCCAGTCTGTATGCATGGGGGGGCGTGTGTGTGCACTTGACATCAACCCGTGCTCCAGTCTGTGTGCATGGGGGGGCGTGTGTGTGTGCACTTGACATCAACCCGTGCTCCAGTCTGTGTGCATGGGTGTGTGTGTGTGTGTGCACGGGGGTGCACTTGACATCAACCCGTGCTCCAGTCTGTGTGCATGGGTGTGTGTGTGTGTGTGTGTGTGTGCACGGGGGTGCACTTGACATCAACCCGTGCTCCAGTCTGTGTGCATGGGGGGGCGTGTGTGTGTGTGTATGCACTTGACATCAACCCGTGCTCCAGTCTGTGTGCATGGGGGGGTGTGTGTGTGTGTGCACTTGACATCAACCCGTGCTCTAGTCTGTGTACATGGGTGTGTGTGTGTGTGTGTGTGTGTGTGTGTGCACTTGACATCAACCCGTGCTCCAGTCTGTGTGCATGGGTGTGTGTGTGTGTGTGTGTGCACTTGACATCAACCCGTGCTCCAGTCTGTGTGCATGGGGGTGTGTGTGTGGGTGCACTTCCGTCTTCCACACACTCCAATGCATAGAAGCTGGAAGTCAACAGTGAGTGTCTTCTTTGGCCTCCACCTTTAGTTTGGGAGGCACAGTGTCTTGCTCAGTCTAAAGTGTAACAGTTTGACTAGGCTGGCTGGCTGGTGAGCTTCAGAGAGCCACTGGTCTCTCCCACTGACATCAGGGTTTTAGGGACTCATTGCCATGCCTGGCTTTCTCCAAGGCTTCTAGGGATCTGAACTCCATTTCTTCTGCTTGTGTGTCAGGTCATCTCCCCAGCCAGCATTTCAGCATTTTAGATTTATTACCTCACTCAGCTCACTCAAATGGTTTTTGTTGTTGTCAATGCTTATTTGTTTCTTTTTCTTTCTTTTTCTTTTTCTTTTTTTTTTTTTTTTGGTTTTGGAAACAGGGTTTTTCAGTAGTCCTGAAATTTGCTTTTTAGACCAGGTTGGCCTTGAACTCACAGAGATAGATCCTCCTGCCTCTGCCTCCCGAGTGCTGGGATTAAAGGCGTGCGCCACTACGACCAGTTATGTCACACAAATTAAGTTCTGTAGGGACTGAGTCTACTCTGCTCACAGTGGTATCGGATGTCCCCACCTGTCTCTGTTTGTAGGAGGTATGCATTTGTCCTTAGTGGCAAAGACAAGGAAACTGAGGCTCAGAAAGATGAAACCAGAAAGTGGCTGGGTGGTGGTGGCGCACACCTTTAATCCCAGCACTCGGGAGGCAGAGGCAGGCGGATCTCCGAGAGTTCGAGGCCAGCATGGTCTACAGAGTGAGTTTCAGGACAGCCAGGGCTGCACAGAAAAACCTTGTCTCAACCCACCCCCCCCAAAAAAAAACCAGAAACTAGAAAGTGATAAGACTAGAACTTGAATTCAAGTGGATCTGACCTGAAAGCTAAGACTTTTACCCATAATGTCTGTCCCTACAGTCAGCCCACTCAGCTGGCTCAGCCCCTTCTGCACTTGGCACCCCCACCTCTGGGTCTCAGGGTCTCAGCTTAGCAGATATTAATCACTCAATAACTATGTGGTAAATGTGTTTTTCCCGACACATTCCATCTGTTGTTAGGTCAAGGGGCATTTGTAAGTTTAAGAATACTATGTTTACTGATTTCAAATGGGAAAACTAAAGCTGTTGTACTCATAGGTGTCTTTTGAATGAGTTCTGTGTAAAGGCACCTCAGGGTATGGGTGCCTGTGTGGGGAGAAAAGGCCACAGGAGTCAGGGAGGCCAGGGTTGTCACCCTGCTTCTGCCTCCTCCTGAGCCTCAGTAACGCTGGCTGCACTTCTCCTCTGGGACTGGTATGCAGCAGGGAACATAGGGCTTCCTGAGTCCACAGACTCAGCACTGCCTGTGGTCTTCTGCGGCGCCACTTATGAGCAGGGCTGCCTTATATTTTGCTGATATGTTTATTACAGATTCATGGTATTCATGCATATGTGCATATTCACATGTGTGTGGAGGCCAGAGGCTGACATTTGCTGAGATCCCCCCAATGCCAACCCATTTTACAGATAAGGAAAGTGAGGTTCTCTACCTTATATTGAAGCAGGTTTCCTACTGGAACTAAGAGTCAGGAGTTCACCAGTCTAGCTGGTTTGCTCTAGGGGATCCTTTATCCCTGCCTCCCAGACTCTGAGATTACAGGTGGGCACCACACCTCCCCATTTCTGTGGGTGCTGGGAATTAAAATTCTAGTTCTCACATCTGAGTGGCAGGTGTGTTAGTTGCTGAGCTATCTTCCACTTATCTTTTTAATGGGGTGGGGCTCTGGGACTGGGCAGGAGCTTTATAACTGTTGGCAAGTTTGCCTTTCTTTTTTCATATTTCTGGTTTTTCTTTTTTTTGGGGGGGCGGGGGTTGAGACAGGGTTTCTCTGCAGCTTTGGAGGCTGTCCTGGAAGTAGTTCTTGTAGACAAGGCTGGTCTGGAACTCACAGAGATCCACCTGCCTCCCAAGTGCTGGTATTAAAGGCATGCACCACCACTGCCTGGCCTATTTCTGGTTTTTCAAGACAGGGTTTCTCTGTTTAGCCTTGGCTGTCCTGGAACTTGCTCTGTTAGACCAGACTGGCTTCAAACTCAGAGATCCGCCTCTTTTTGTCTACCCTGTGTGCCAGAATTAAAGGCATGTACCACCACCCACTGCCCAGAGCTTTTGTTCTTTTGAGACAGGGTCTTTCCTATAGTCCAGGCTGGCCTGGAAATTATGGGGTGACCAGGCTGGCCTTGAATTTAGAACAAACCTGCCTCCATCTTCCAAGTGCTGAGACTGTAGGTATGTACCACTGTCCCCAGGTTAGAAACTGTATCTTTACATTCTTTTTTGTTTGTTTTTCAGGACAGGGTTTCTCTGTGGCTTTGGAGCCTGTCCTGTCTACCTTTTGTAGACCAGGCTAGTCTCAAACTCACAGAGATCCACCTGCCTCTGCCTCCCGAGTGCTGGGATTAAAGGTGTGCGCCACCACCGCCCGGCCTTTGCAGACATTCTTAACGTATTTGACTTATTGGCTGTGTATGTGCGTGCATGCGTGTGGGTGGCTGGGCACAAGTGGAGGTCAGAGGACAGCCGCTGCAGTTGGTCTCACGTCACCATGTGGGTCCTGGGGATGAGTGACAAGTGCCCCTGAGCCATCTCACCCGCCTTAAAAACCAGTTTTAAAGTAGGAAAGAAAGGATGAACAAATGCAGTGTCTCTGGTTGAATGTTAGGAGGGTCTTTCTGAGATCTCTGTCACATACAAACTCAGCCCTAAGAGGGAATGCCCCTTGTAGGAAAACTCCCTTCGTTAGTTCCCACTTAGGGACTTGTAGTGGTTCACACTTGTAGTCTCAGCACTTGGAAGGCTGAAGCAGTGGGGGGATGGGCAGGCTAGCCTGGACTACAGACTAAAACCTTGTCTCTAAAACACAGTAAATACACCTAGAGAAGCAACCTCAGTCTAGAGAAACACCCTGGGTCTTGGCATAAGGAAATAGGGAATGGGCGACCTCCCTGGCCACCAGGGGGAGCCATTTCTAGTTTAGCCTATTGATTAAACTAATAATGCTTAAGATCCATTCTGAGCCTGGTGGTGGTGCAGGTCTTTAATCCCAAAACTCAGGGAGGCTGAGGCAGGTGGATATGTGAGTTCCAGACCAGCCTGGTCTACAGAGCGAGTTCCAGGACAGCCAGGGCTTCACAGAGAAACCCGTCTCAAGAAACAACAACAACAAAAAAAACCAAACCACCAAACAAAAAGGTCCCATTCTGCTTGGGGTGGCAGGTCGACCGTGGATGGAGATGCTAATTAGCCATGTGTTCCCCAAGACCTGGGAGCTGTGAAGTGTGGGGAGATCCATTCACCACTTACACACTGCTCACTTGAGGAAATGGACAGGGCCTGATCATCCCACAGGAAGCCAGAGCCCGCATCTAAGCCTGTGTGGGTTCTGGCCTGGCACACTAGCATCCCTGCCGCCCACCCACCGGGCCAGCCGGTCCTCCAGGTCCTGGATCTGTTTGTGGTAGAATTCCTTCAGCTCCTCCACCACGGTGGACTCCGGGGACTTCAGGGCGGCACTCACGTCCTTTCTGCCCCCTTTCTTCCTCTTGCCTTCAAACTCCTTGAGGCCTTTGTTCAGCTTCTTTTTGGGAGCCATGGCTGATAGCAGCCACCTTTTCAAGTCCCCTTTAAGAAGCCAGGTGGTTGCTATGGAAGTTGGTTTCATACATAGCAACAGTCTGACAGAGTGAGGCTGCCTGTTAAAGGGCCGCTGTCCCCTTCTGGACAGGGAGTCTGTGTCTGGCCTGGGCCTAGCCCTTCACAGCAGGATGGCAGGCTCTTGGGTACAAGTTTGGGCTCCAGGAAGACCTTTCCTTTCCCTACATGGAAATAAAGATGTGGTAAATTAATTACAATCATCAAGAGCTCTAGAAATCACTAGCCTGCCACTTCGGCACTTTGTGCTAATCAGCAGATGGAGGTCCAGTCGGGTGGACCAGAACAAACCCACACACACGCCCACCCCCTGTGGCTAGGATGCACCTCCCCTAGACCTTCAGGGACATACACACATTTCATATTGGGGGTGGGGCCTCACAGGCTGGAGCCTTGGTTTCCCTAAGGCTCAGTGGCAGGGTCCATCCTGTCCATTGCTACCCCAGGCAAAGTTCTTTCTGTAGCTTTGGTCTTGGCTACAGCATGGTAGGGAGACAAAGCCCCTGGGGTTGAGGAAGCAGCGTACAGGCAAGGGATGGGGACGGTAGGAATCCAGCTGGCAGATGCCCTAGCCGGCCCCTCGGGGCTCTACCCTTTCAGCACTGGGTCGTCTCACATTGGGCTTTTTCATTCATGAGTCTGCTCTTTAGTCCCCAAGCATTCTGACTCCATGGAGTGAATGCCTGGTGTCACACATGCTCACTTGTAATCTCAGCTTCTTGAGGGTAGGGGCAGGAGGAACATAAGTTCAAGGTCAACCTGGGCAACTCACTGAGGCTCTGTCTCAAAATAAGAAAACATGGGCCAGTAATATGGGTCACTGGCTTAAAGTGCTTGCTGCACATGCCTGATGAGCTGAGTTCTATGCCCAGAACCCATGGGGGAAGGAGAAAATTGAGACCTAAAGTTACTCTCTGACCTCACATGCATACCACAGGTAAGAAAGAGCACGTGAGCACAGCCCTCAAAACAGGAAGAGGCTAAAGGGCCACTCCCGTTGTGAGGCACAGGTGACCCGGGGAGAAGGAATAGACGGTATTTATTTACTCTGCTTCAACAGTTACTTGGTGTAGGAGTCAAGTCCCTGAATTGCATCTTATTCCAGGCATTCTGGCGACGGTACACACTGACTGGCTGACGTCTTCCGGGAGTGAGTGTTGTGAAGCCCTGAAGTCTTGCCGGAGCTGGGTGGGATGTGCTACAGGACTGCCCTTCAAGCCAAATTGCCGCTGTCTTCGAGAGTGGGCCTGCTTGCAAAGATCATCTGGGCTGAGCTTGTTGACTGTTGACCTTCCCTCACAGAGGGGAAGCTGGGGAGGTGTGACTTGACCCGCCTGGGCTCCAGCCCCCCTTCCCAAGCAGCTGTATGCAATTCTGCTCTAACTGCACGTGGCCTCAGGGTCTTGGGAAGGGGCTGTGTACATAGGCTGAGGAAGACTAGGCGAAGGGCTCCATCTATGTGGCCCTGGGGAAGTCATCCATCCCATTTCCGGTGAGACTGCTTTGGGTTTCTCCATGCTCCCATTTGTAACCCCTCTCTCAGGCTCTGAGTAGGCTTAAGAAACTCATGGGTTCCCTGGGGACCTTTGGAATCAAACTTTGGTTTGTCATTGGTACCTTAGTGAGGTGGGTAGTTGTTGCCTCACCCCTACCACCACCCTGGGCAAAAATGCTTGATACATGTGAAGATCTCCAAATTAGCCTTGAATTGAAACATTCCTGCATGCAGTGAAGGTGTCATTTTCTGTTACTGACCGGGACAATGTTCACAGAGGTGTATTTAGTGACTTAAAACCACACTTGTATATATGGAGGCTTTGCCTGCTTGCCTGGGTGCAGCCCCATGGGTGCCAGAAGGGAGTCAGATCCCTGGTGGTGGTGACTCACCCTGTGCGTGCTGGGAATCAAGCGCCAGCTCTTAGAACAGGAGGTGCCCTTAACTGCGAGCCATCTTCCCATACTGATCGGCTGCTTCTCATTGTGTTTTGTGATGCTGGCATGAAGTCTGAGGTGTCACGCGCCAGGCAAGTGTTCGGTCTGACTTCAGACCCAATTTTTACATTCTTATAGTCTTGAAACAGGGTCTCACTGAGGCTGACCTTGAACTAGGCAGCCCTAGAATTAAAATTCTCCTGTCTCGGCTTCTTTTTTTTTTTTTTTTTTTTTTTTTTTTTGGTTTTTACGAGACAGGGTTTGTCTGTATTGTTTTGGAGGCTGTCGGTCCAGCCCAGCCTCGAACTCACAGAGATCCGCCCGCCTCTGCCTCCTGAGTGCTGGGATTAAAGGCATGCGCCACCACCGCCCGGCTCTGTCCCAGCTTCTTAAACAGCTGGGATGTTAAGCCTGTGCCACTAGGTCTGGCTTAGTCAGCTGCTGCCGGAGGTCCAGGGGCCTGGCACTTCACGGCTGATGGCTGGAGCTTGTGAGAGGAGTTTGCTGTGAGCGGCTGAGGCAGGAAGAAGCCAGGCTTGACTACAGAAAGCCCTCTGGCAAGAACCCAGTACCCTGATAACCCAGTCACTTCCCTCAGCCTTCGCCAGGACTGCCACACTGACAGTCCAGCTCCCGGCACGGGAACGTCCAGGGACAAGCCATATCTAGACCTCAGCAGGAAGGATTTAATGAGCCCATGGCTCTGTGCCGTGAGTCCTCAGCTTCTCAGTAACATTGACCTGGTCACAGGCCACTGCCGGCTTCCAATTGGAGGAAGCCCTTCATACACGTGGGCCGGGGCGGGGCAGTGACATCAATGGAGGGACCAACATCTCAGGGCCCTGAACACACCAGGACTACAGGGCCTGCAGCGTCTGAGGCAGAGGCATTCTAGAAAGAGCAGCTCACCTCACGTCTAGGCAGGTCCTCATTTACCGTTACGTATGTTGCCTTGGCTGGACCTGGAACTCATGTGGAACTAGCTGGCTGAGCTCAGAGATCCTTCTGCCTCTGCGTCCTAAGTGCTGGGACTAAAGGTGAGTGTTACCATAGCCACGAAGGCAGCATCCTGCTGCCTGAGACTGGAGTCAAGTTTTGTCCCTAAAAGGGAGACAGGGACAGGTGTGATGCAATTCGAGCCAGCAGACCCAAGGCGCGGCTGTGGCGTGGCCAGCCTCTGTAGCTCCCAGAGTAAAGCCAGCTCTGCAGTGGGCCTGGGCACCACGAGTGAGCGATGATGTCTTTATTAGACTCGAATGCTGCAGTACAGGACGGTACAAAGTGGTACACGGTTGTGCTTCCATACTTAAACACCGAGATTTGAGAATTTCAAGTTAACAAGTTTCAAGACAGACTAGCTTTTTTTTAAATATCCTTTTGAGAAATTATTTATATAAATAACATACAGGAAACCCCACGTGTTCAACAAACAAGGTCCTGAAGCATGAGCATCGCTTGACCAGAGGGAAGGGACAGAAGCGGCTACACGAGAAATCAACCAGCGCTGCTGCTATGGTTGGGTCCTCAGGAAGAAAGGTCCCTGGGGGCAGAGGGCAGGGCAGGACTAAGAACTGCTGAGAGGAGGGGACTCTAGAGCCGGGGAGGGGGAAGGGCACAGGTCACTTGCGGAGGAGGAAGGCATACACCACATTTGCGAAGACAGCACAAGACACACTAACACACAAATCTGCGGGAGCGAGGGAGGGGCAGGGGCTGGGCTGGGGACGTTTTTGTGACTTCCACTGTCTGTATGTTTCATGACTTCAGCAGCAGAGTGAGTGGCCTGCTCAGAGCTGCCGTGTCCTGAGGATGGAGGCCATCCTTCCAGCATCTGCTTCGGAATTTCCTGCTTTATAGCTAGCTACGTTTTATACAGCGACGATTTTAATACAAAGAATAAAGTGATCATTTTTCTCATACAACACAATGACATATGACTGTACCTTACACAAAATAAGATTGATGAAGTATCTTAAACTCCGACTGATGTTGCTCGCAGAGTGGAGACAAGATTAGCAGGGCCCCCGTTCCTCAGGCCTACAACCCTTCTATTGGAAAACACCCTTGACCAGAGTACCAAATCCATGCCTTCCAGTCCAGTCCTGACCCTTGCCCTCTGTCGAGGCTGACCTGTTCAAGTGAACCCTGGGGAAAGAAGGTGGCTTCTCTTGCAGAACTGAGGGTGCTAGGCATGCCGATTCAGATGGAAGGACTTAAATGAGGTTACAGCACTGTGGACACGGGCAGGGGAATAGTGCCAGGCTTTGGCAACAACACTGGCTGGCGCCCAGACTGGCTTCCTGTGGCCACCCTAAGCCCCCACCCACAGCTGCAACACTGGGCCAAGAAGAGGTCAGTTCCATTCTGCATGAGGACAGGCAGTGAGAGGGACTAGGGAGAGAAAGAGATCCCTTCCTCAGTGTGGAATATCTGGGGACAGACACAATTCCCAACAAGAACAGAAATGAACCCGAACAAGCTTTGAGAAACACACACACATCTACCTTTCCATACTCAAGCACGGTGCGCACGCGGCATAGGGCTATGTACAGGTCACAGGGGCTTATATAGGAGAGTCCACTCAGTCTAGAGTTCTGACGCTTCTGCATGTCACCTTCTTGTGGGATACGTACAGAAGATAATCACTTTTAAAAAACAACACATTACTCTCTTGCTTTTCAAAGGACAAGATAGGATGTCGTCACACAGGAGAAGAACTCAGCGTGGCAACGGGGTGGCCAGGGCGTGCAGGGCTGGGGAGGCGGCAGAGTAACCGAGGCGTTGCGCTGGGGGGCTGCAGAGCACTGTGGGACGGGAGCCAGGGTTTTGGAGGGCGGCTTATGTTTTTAACTGCTTATTTCTTCCTCTGTTTTATTCAGCTTCTTCAGCGTGTCCAGCAGTTTCTGTGGGGTGAGAATGTGCGTGGATCCTGGGAAGGCAGAGAAGACAGTGAGCTCACTCACCTACTGCAGCCCGAGGCTTCTCCCCGATTCTCCATCCCACAACCCTCGTCTGGGCCCAGTGGAAGCCGGGAGGGGGTGGGGATGGAACCCTTGGGCCCTGTCAGAGTAGACTTAGGCATTTAGGCTCAGCAGGGTCCCAGGCTGGACCTAGGAACCGCCTCTCAATCAGAGTCCAGTGCCAGTTGATGGCAGCCGTACTTTAATATCTCTTGAAGTTGAGGTGAGGCCAGGAAGAGGCATTTTAAATATGGCAAGGGGCAGTGGCTAAGGGGAAAGGCCGGTAGGCATCTCTATATGGAGAGAATGGTGCCTGCTGGGCCCAGGGACCCACTGACGTCTGGGAGCCGGCATGTCGATGCTGGCATGGTGGGGACCTCAGGTGCGAGAGGGAAAGGGCAGGGACCTGAGGCCTTACCTTGTGGAGACCTGCATTGTAAGAGATTAAAAATGCTTGCAAAAGTTTAAGCTAATGGAACCAGATATACTTCTAGAGCGAAGGTAAAAACGATACAAATAAAAACATTGAAAAATGAAGGCCTTTTCATAGAGATGTGGGTGCAGTAAAATGACGCGTGGGCTGAGTGGTCTGGACATGGGCTTAATCAAACAGAATGGCGGTGACGGTGGCGTGAGCATGGAGCGCGCATGCACGCAGCAGTGGGTGCAAAGCAGGGTCCTGGCGGGACAGGAGAACTGAACGAGAGATCCGTCCTTGAAAATGTGCCTCCCTGGGGCCTGGGAGCCACAGGCCTCTGCGGGAGAGGGGAGCTGAGACCCTCCCGACTGCCATTCCAAGGGCAGGCACTGGAGCTTGGTGCCTGTGCCTCTGGCCATCACTTGCTCAGTGACCTGGAAGCTGTCTGGTCATTCTGGACCAGCAGACAAGCAACACTCTGAGAGGCATCTACCAGTGTCCTGTCCCTGCCTGCATTCACTGTTCTGATGAGGAGTCCGCCCCTGGCTGTGTCCCAAGTGTTCTCCCTGCGCTGGGGGCCTTGTAATTTAAGGCTGTTTTGTTACCACAGTTCCTTAAGCAGAATGGATGCGCTATCAGGACTGCCTCAGGTTTTTATACGGGCCCTTCCTGCTAAAGCATGCCGGCTTCGGTGAGCTTCCTAGGGGCCCTGAGGCAGCAGGAGCCAGTGCCAGAAGGGAAGGCCTTCCAGATCTCCACTCCATCCAGCCCAGCTGCACGCAGTGAGGCGTGCTCAGGCTTCCTAAAGCCAACCCACAGCACACTGGCCAGAGAGGGCCCTGTTCTCCATCCTGGACAGTGGTCCAGGAAACTGCTCTGATCAGAGGCCTGTTCTAAAGTGCACCCTGACTGCTTACACGGGCATTCAGACCTTCAGGGAGGTCAGAGAGTCAGGAACTTACCCTCTAGAATTTCCCGATACGAGCTCATTCCTAACCATTGGACATTGCTAGTGTTTACAGAAGAACAAGTGTAAAACCAAATCTGGGAGAGCCCGCCCACGAGGCCAGGTCGCCCAAAGCCAGTTCCTGACAGCCTGCAATCTGGGCACTCAGTACTGCAGATGGAGATGGTACCATCAAGACTGCAAAGTGGGCCACACAGCCATGAGCTGCACCTCGCAGTGCGTCTCGTGTTGGTCCCTAAGAGGTTAGCTATGCTGGCTTCTACTTACGAATTCTGAGACACTCTTTTAGCCCGCACAACTGGCGATTATGGAAGGCCAGCAGTGGCCTCCAAAGAGGAAGCTGAGGCCCAGTCAAATGCCCGTCTCATGCTTCTAAGCTTGGGTGATGGTCCTCTCGATTAAGGGCTCCCTGGAGCTTCCTGGGAAAGATACCAACCCTTCTTTGCTAGGTGTTGGTGGCGCACGCCTTTAATCCCAGCACTCAGGAGGCAGAGGCAGAGGCAGGTGGATCTCTGTGAGTTTGAGGACTGCCTGGTCTTCAAAGAAAGTTCTAGGACAGCCTCCAAAGTCACAGAGAAACCCTGTCATTAAAAAAAAAAAAGAAACCAACCCTCTTTTTTTTTTTTTAAGACAGGGTTTGTCTATGCAGTCCTGGCTATCCTGGAACTAGCCCTGTAGACCAGAAGGCTGGCCTCAAACAGAGATGCACTGGTCTCTGCCTCCCAAGTGCTGGGACTAAACGTGTATGTCAGCACCACCAGCTAAAAGGAGTCATCAGAGGGACATACAAAGAGGCTTGTAAGTCAGAACCAACAGCCCAACACAGAGCACAGCAAAATGAACTATAATATAAGCACGCACAAAACTTACAAGTGACATGCGCACTACATAGGGCTAATGTAGCTAATAGTTCTCTCCTTTGGCTTTCTTTTTTTTTTTTTTCATTTTTCGAGACAGGGTTTCTCTGTGTAGCTCTGGCTGTCCTGGAACTCACTCTGTAGACCAGGCTGGCCTTGAACTCACATTGATCCACCTGTCTCTGCCTCCATAGTGCTGGGATCAAAGGCATATGCTACCACTGCCTGGCTGTTTTTATTTTTTTAATTATTTTTATGTATGTGAGTGTTTTGCCTTTATGTGTGTCAGGGCATCGTATCTGTTCCTGGTACTCAATCCACTGGGTCTCCATGACTGGAGTTAGACAGTTGTGAGCTGCTGTGAGGGTCCTGGAATTTGAACCCAGATCCTCTAAGCAGCAGCCAGGGCTCCTAGGCATCAAGCCATTTCTACAGCCCCTCTTTCATTTGTCTTGATGGCTTCCTGGCCATCTTCTTGTGATTGGCACTACTGGCCTACATCATCAAGGTAAGAATGTAAAATTCAAATCAGGAGATGCCACTCCTGGGCAGTGTGGAAGGATGACGTCACTCCTGGGCAGTGTGGAGGGATGGCGTCACTCCTGGGCAGTGTGGAGGGATGACATCACTCCTGGGCAGTGTGAAGGGATGATGTCACTCCTGGGCAGTGTGGAGGGATGATGTCATGGGCAGTGTGGAGGGATGATGTCATGGGCAGTGTGGAGGGATGACATCACTCCTGGGCAGTGTGGAGGGATGGCGTCACTCCTGGGCAGTGTGGAGGGATGATGTCATGGGCAGTGTGGAGGGATGATGTCATGGGCAGTGTGGAGGGATGATGTCATGGGCAGTGTGGAGGGATGATGTCATGGGCAGTGTGGAGGGATGATGTCATGGGCAGTGTGGAGGGATGATGTCATGGGCAGTGTGGAGGGATGATGTCATGGGCAGTGTGGAGGGATGATGTCACTCCTGGGCAGTGTGGAGGGATGATGTCACTCCTGGGCAGTGTGGAGGGATGATGTCACTCCTGGGCAGTGTGGAGGGATGATGTCATGGGCAGTGTGGAGGGATGACGTCACTCCTGGGCAGTGTGGAGGGATGATGTCACTCCTGGGCAGTGTAAAGGGATGACTAGAGGGAGCTAAGCCAGGCTTAGGGGTTCTGCAATGGTCAGCTGCCTTGGGGACTGGAGAGAGAGAAGCTAGGAAGACAAGGCAAGGCACTGTCTCCTGGGGACCTCCCTTGTGGCGGGGCCTCATAATTAGCTCTTGTCAGTCTTTCATTGAACTGCAAGACCCTGAATTATGGCAGGGAGACTTTTTAGTAATTGTGAAAGCTTGGCCTTAGCTGAGGCTTGCTCCCAACCAGCTCTTACCACTTAAATTAACCGTTTATATTAATCTATGTTCTATCACATGACTTGTTCCCTGACCTCAGTACTATAAGTCTGCTTTCTGCCACATTAAACCAAGCAGAAGGCCCCTTAGGCAAGTGAGGAGGACAGAGACACATTTACAAAAAGATGATCCCAACACCAAGCTACAGCATCGAGGCTCTCCAGGGTTCACACGATTCTGTCTGTCCACCCACATGGCTACAGCAGGAGGGACGAGGACTTTCCCTGGCCTCTGGCCTCTCTGGTGGCTTGCTATTGCTTCATCTCTCTGCTTCCTTGTATGCACAGGCATTTAAATTTTATTTATTTTTGGGACAGGGTCTCAGTCTGTGGCCCTGACTGTCCTTGAACTTTCATATAAATCAGGGTGGCTTTAAACTTGCACAGGTCCGCCTGCCTCTGCCTCCCAAGTGCTAGGATTAAAGTTGTGTGACGCCATACCCTGCTTATTTATTTAGCTTTTAGATACACTCTGCCTTGAACTTGAGACCCTTGTGCCTCAGTTTCCCGAGGCAAGGCTGACAGAAGGGCAGCTTGCTGCTGCTTGACCTCCCACTGACCTATTTTCCAGAGAAAAGGGAACACGGGAGGATGGAGAGGACGCCCAGGGCCATGGCCAACTCCCCTTTCCTTGGCTCAGAGCTGTTGTCCTGGAGATAATGTCCCTCTGCTGAGGGAAAGGGGGACAAATGGAGTAGCCTACTATTTCTTCTTATAACAGGAAACCCCACCAAAGCAAGCCAGTTTCTGGTGGTATCTGGTCCTGCTTTGGAAGAGTCACACCCCTGAGATCCGCCAGAAGGACAGAGGTGTGACTTGAGGCCTGCATCGGCCTACTGAATTAGACTGCTCCAGGGAGCCTTGGCACACTGACCCAGCCTCCCTGTGCTCCTATTCTGTGCAGGCAATGTGAGTGACCAACTCGGCCACCCAGTCCTGGCTACCCGTGCAGGTCTCTTGCTACTGTTCACTGGCCACTCCAACTTGCTGACTTACTGGGTCACACGCCAATTTATGGTAAAAGGACATTTTTGGGCCCATGACAAAACAGGACTGAACATCAAGGACTGACTAACACAGGAGGTTTCCAACACACTTAAAAGATGGCCAGGGAGAAGGGACGAGGAGGGTATAGAAGAGTCTGGTAGGACAGTTACTCCCCAGGAACAAGCTTAGGGTGTCAAGAAGGGATTTATTTCTCTTGAGGGCTCTAGACCTGACTAAGAAGCCTCAGTGAGAGAGATGTGACTGTTCAACTCTAAAAGATCCGGCACTAACATAAAAGCAGTTTCTTCCTCCCTCTCTTTCTTCTCTTCCAAGCCTCACTCAAGGTAGTCCAGCACTAGGTTACATCCCGGCCCGCTTTTTACTTTTAAAAAAGTTTCACTTGCCGGGCGTTGGTGGCGCACGCCTTTAATCCCAGCACTCGGGAGGCAGAGGCAGGCGGATCTCTGTGAGTTCGAGGCCAGCCTGGTTTACAAGAGCTAGTTCCAGGACAACCTCCAAAGCCACAGAGAAACCCTGTCTCGAAAAAAACAAAAACAAAAAAAAGTTTCACTTTAATTATGCGCAAGCATGTGAGTTATGTGCTCATACACGCAGGTGCCCACGGAGGTCAAAGACATCAGATCTCTTGGAGTTGGAGCCACGGGTGGCTGTGAGCTGCTGTGTGGGTGCTGGGGACAGAGTCTGGGTCCACTGCAAGAACAGCAGGAGTTCTTAACCACTGAGCCGTGTCTGCAGCCTTCTTTTTACTGTTTGAGAACAGTCCTGTCAAATTTCCCAGCTGGCCTTTGGCTCACTCCGCCCGCCCGCCGAGGAGCTGGGTTCACAGCCTGCCCCACCAGACTGAGTTAACGAGGGCAAGAGGGCAGTTTCTGTAGACAGCACGTGTAATGAGCAGTGGTGTCTGTCACTAAGCCTACAGCAGCAGGAGGGGGCATCCCTCCACACCGACGCCCTCAAAGTGCCTATCCTGAGTAAAGATGTCCATCCCGCTGCCTCTCACTGGCCTGGAGTCCCCTCTGCTGCTCCCTGCCACTCCTTTGTCACCCGTAGGTGCCACGGGCACCTCTCAAGTGTCGGCCCTGTACACACGGCCACCCTGAACGCCACTGGCCTTACTCTCAAGCACACACGCCCACCCTGCGGGAGCCTACATTTCACTCTGGGCAGCAGGCTTGGGCGCCACGCCTCAGACATCCCTCAACTCCAGGAGCAACCACACAGTTACTGTCCCTCGGTTCCACCCCGGTGGCCGGCAGCTGTCTGACTGTGCGGCATTCACCCAGGGCTTGAGTGAGTGGGCGGGTGGAGCCCAGGGTGTGAAGGCTGGACACATTTTCAATCGGCGTTAAGAACTGCAAGCATTTTCTTGGAGAAAGAAAAACCAAAGAAATGAACAGAAAAAAAGAGAGAAAAAGAAAGAGTGACGGGATAACCAAAGAAAGCCCTTCAGAGTGGAAGAGTTTCTTTCTGTAATAAGCCGCCTTTACTTTGTTTCTTTGGCTCTCACTCCATTGTTGGAGCCTGATCCTCAAAAGATACCCTAGAGGACTCCCTGAAGTCGGGGTGTCTCAGGTCCATGAGGAATTTGGTGGGAGTGAGAATGTGAGTAGAACCTGTGGGAGAATAGAGGCCAGCTGAACAGAGGCACCTGGACATGCCACCGGAGGCCCCAGCGCCCGCAGCCAGAGAGGCACTGAGGGGCGAGGCATGCGCAGGCGCATGCGCACACACACCCATGCAGGGAGCAAGGCGTTGGCATGCATGGAGCATGGGAGGCCACGCGGTGAACGGTGGCGGTCTGTGGGAAGCCCCTCCAGGGACCCTCGTGGGCAGCTCTCTGTCCCTGGGTCTCTACCCTCCCCCTGCACAGGGAACCTTAGGAAGGCTCATCCCAAAGCCTGGCTGTGCCGGCTGCTGGCCGGGGAAGCTGAGCCCAGGTCCTCTAACGCATGCATGCAGCACACATGCAAGCAGGAGCAGGGAACACGCACGGGGCCTACGTCACAGACAGAAAAGCAGGCACAGGAACTAGACCGCGGGTGCCTGCGGGAGCGGGGAGGGTGTGCCGTCTTCCCACCCGGTGTGTGGAGGTGACAGCCCCTTCGTGCCTGTCTCGGTGAACCCACAAGCAGCTGTGTCACTGCTGTGTCACTGCTCTAAGGAGTCTGCTTGCTCTCGACAGCTTGGGGGTGCTGTGAGTTGGTCATCCAAATTGGATCAATGGGAAGTGACATTGTTGAGATGCCTGCACCTGTGAGCTGAGGGAAGCCTTGCTGGCTGGCAGCTAAGGGCCGCCTCTCCCACAGTCCACAGGTAAATGGCCCACGTGGCCCTCAAGAGGCCCCGGGGGGCTCGCTTTCCACAGGGTGCCCAGCACACTCCTAGGACACAATCTCAGGCCTTGTGCTTTATCCAGCGTGTGTTCCCACAGAGGGTGAGCCTAAACAGGGCAGTGTCTGTGCCAGCCTTCTGAGAGCTGGTGGCACATAAACTCTGTTTAGGGCCAAAAGGAAGGCATCTGGGAGAGCCCAGACTTCTCTCCCTCAATTGTCTGCAGATGACCCTGGGGCAGAAGCAGGAAGGCCCCCCTTCTACAGTAGAGCAGCTTCTACCAGCTGCGTCTGGGCTTCTGGAAGGGAACAAGAAACACAGAGTGTGGCAGGCCAGAAGGTGGTGGGGACTGGCTAGGGACTCCTTATGACCCAGACACCAGGCCGGTGGACTCCAGCAGTATCTGTGACATGCCATCTAATGCCCTCCAACACAGCGGCAGGGAGGACGGTAATGATGGCCCTACCAGCAAGTGTGGTCCAAGGCCTGATGCCCAGAAGTGCGCAGCTACCCCTCAGCCCTGTTCCAGGCTGCAAGGAGGTGCTACGAACTGTTCTGCTGGGTGACAGTATGGCTTGGGAGACAGCCACTCTTGCTCCAGGTGACACCACTTAGTGTCAGTGTACGGATTTGAGGCTCTTTCCATCCCAAGACGCTGTCGCTCAGCAAGAGACGCATTAGGGCAGAGATCCCTAGCTTTTGCCATTCACATACTGTTACGCATGGCTACGTTTTGCTGGGGTGAGGGAGGGAGGACCCAAGACAGGATGCAACAGGAAGCGTGGAATGGAGTGACAGAGCGATGAGCAGCAGCTCCTGCAGAACGCATGCCCTGCTCACCTATCAGCACTTCCCACTTGCCGTTGGCCTGGGTCACTTCGTAAGCGCAGCGCATCTCATTCAGGCTCACACCTCCAAGGATGAAGATGATGAGGCGGGGCCCGCTTCGGTATTCCCCGGGGGCTTTGTTCTTGTGCCAGTGTCCATAGCGGGCGCTGAGGGAGAGAGAGCAGTTACAGGTGTCAGTGCTGGCGAGCTGAACTGGACTGCAGGTACCTGAGCGGCTTTGCCTGGATGGCTCTCACCCAGATGTCTGCTTCAGTTCAGGCCTGGTCCTGAGCTTGCCCGGGACTCTGCAGCACTATGTGGTATGGAGAGGCAGCACCAGGCTGGCACACTGATCACAGGCAAACGTGCCACAGAGGCCTCATGTGGGCCAGGCTTCCTGGTACTGTATGCCCAGGGAAAGAGAACGCTTGCCCTCTACAAAGTCAGAATCTAGGGAACTGCTGAATGCCATGGGACAAGACGGGATCACAGAGCACTGCTCAGGCTCTACTGGGGAGGTAAAAGCAGCGAGCCTGAGGAGCGTGGGCTTCCTCAGTAGAGGCCTGGACTCTGACACAGGAGACGGGCTGTCCAGGCTGAGAAGACTGGAAACATTAGAAGGGGGAAGCAAGTCCCCTGTGGACAGCAGAATGCTCCACCCTGCTTCCTCACTCACGACAGGAAGAAGGGGGTGCTGTTGGTGTCTTCTGTGTACAGTCTGCCTAGCAAGGGCAGCACTTGGGAGACTGGCCTTTTCACCTTTACTGCCATCAGGAGATGCTAATGCCACAGGAGACACTGCAGACTTCTGACCCAGGCCCAGGCGGAGGCCAAGGGTGAAAACAGAAAGAAGAAAAGCAAGAGACAAACCAGAGAAAAGAGATGGGCGCACGCCTTTAATCCCAGCCTCCCAAGGCAGAGGTAGGTCAATCTCTGTGAGTTCAAAGCCAGCTTGGTCTACAGAGTGAGTTCCAGGACAACCAGGGCTACACAGTGAGACCAAACAACAAAACAAGCAAACAAAACAAATAAACAAAAACAACAATGCGAAAAACCCAAACAAAGCAAGGGGTGAGGGAGTGTCAACCCTGGGGACACATCTGATGGTCCTCTGCAGCACTGGCCACTCTCCAGGCTCCAGGCTCAGGCCCCAGTTCTGGGAACCACTGCCTAACGCTTGTCAGCTGTTTCCACGCTAGGCTTCATGAGTAGACCTGCTGCGGACACTGGGGTTCCGTGAGTAAACAGGAGCTTAGGCATGGTCAAAGGGGAGCGCTAACGAAGACCTACAGGTTAAAGGGGCTGTGTAGCTTCTCTGGCTGCAGACAACGTGTGTGTGGATGGGGTACATGCAGCAGGCCTGGCATGCCCAGGGATGAGCAAGGAGGCCGAGGCTGAGGAAGATGGGTGCATGGAGGAAGGGCTGGGGGCCCAAGGGAGGACTGTGAGCCTGGGCCTGCTGTACCCTGCCCATGATGGGTGGTGTGGGAGGGTTGGGATGGCGCATGCCATTCACAGCCAGGTCTCACAGACTCACAGACATTTACACACCTGACAGCGGTGGTGCTAAAGGAGGCAGAGGAGCGGGTGGAGATATACGGGTAGTGCTTTGTGTCCAGTTTGTCCTCAATGGTGTCCTAGAGAGGAGAAGACAGAGGTCACCATCTGTTTAGAGAGGCCGACAGGAGCTAAAGCAAGAGCTGGGGGGACAAAGGCAGGTGTGACCGCAGCTGCAGCAGCCTCTCCTCTCCCCTGCAGTGACCACAGCTGCAGCCCTCTCCCCTGCAGTGACCACAGCTGCAGCAGCCTCTCCCCTGCAGTGACCGCAACTGCAGCAGGCCTCCTCTCCCCTGCAGTGACCACAGCTGCAGCAGCCTCTCCCCTACATTGACCGCAGCTGCAGCAGCCTCTCCCCTGCAGTGACCACGGCTGCAGCAGCCTCTCCCCTGCAGTGACCACGGCTGCAGCAGCCTCTCCCCTGCAGTGACCGCAACTGCAGCAGGCCTCCTCTCCCCTGCAGTGACCACAGCTGCAGCAGCCTCTCCCCTGCAGTGATCGCAGCTGCAGTAGTGTCTCCCCTGCAGTGACCATGGCTGCAGCCCTCCTCTCCCCTGCAGACCAGGGCAGTGACACTCGTTCCTTAGCTGTTGACTGCCTGGCCCTGCGGGTTACCCTCACTGTCGACTTACAAAGCACCCATTTCCCCTCACCTCTGCAATGCACTCCATTGTATGTCGCTGAGGTTAAACACCTTATACTCTGTCCACTGAGTTCCTGACATATGCTGTCAGCCTGGTGACAAGTGGGTCTGGGGACCCTGCGGTTTATTGAGGAGCCAATTGTCTGGTGGGTGGATTCCAGCTACCTCCTGCCACTTAGAACCACTCTCCTCTTAGGAGTAGCATGAGAAGCTTACACGGGTCTCCTTGGAGAGCAGGGAGGAGGGGCAGAGAAGCAGGGGGGAAGGAGCAATGCAGCAGAGGGCGCTTCCTCAGCCCCAATACCACAGACAGGCAATTGGTTCCTGGGTGTTTCATCGCCTCCTCTCCCTTTGGTTTGTAGGTTTTAAAGATAGGAGCCTGACTCACCCTACATGAATACACCCCTAGTGTACAAATCCTGAACTAACTCGGGGATGCGAGGCGAGGCCCATTCTCTGGACTTCATGTTGTTTGCCTATCAAGTGCGGTTGAGCAGACTGTCGCCTCCAACCTTGAAGACCCACTGGTGTAGGATTCTGCAGGGCTCCCGCTGCGACGGTGAGGGCCAGGAGTCACACCACAGAGCTGCTGCACAGCCCTCTGCCTTGCATCCCGTGTAAGGCAAACAAACAAACAAAAAAAAAACCAAGGTGCCACAGCTTACTGCGTGCGAGGCGCTGTACAATGGACACAGGGCACCAAGTGACAGAATCATCCTAGTAGAAGATGACCCGGGCGAGACAGGCGGCAGTGGTGCGCACCGCTAGTCCCGGCACTTGAGAGGCAGTTTGAACCAGTCTGGTCTACAGAGTGAGTGCCAGAACTGCCAGAACTTCACACGGAAACCCTGTCTCAAAAAACAAAACAAGGAAGGAAGGAAGGGAGGAAGGGAGGAAGGAAGGAAGGAAGGAAGGAAGGAAGGAAGGGAGGAAGGGAGGAAGGAAAGAAGGAAGGGAGGGAGGAAGGGAGGAAGGAAGGAAAGGAAGGAAGGAAAGAAGGGAGGGAGGAAGGAAGGAAGGAAAGGAAGGAAGAAAAGAAGGAAGGGAGGAAGGGAGGAAGGGAGGAAGGAAGGAAGGAAGGAAGGAAGGAAGGGAGGAAGGAAAGAAGGAAGGGAGGAAGGAAGGGAGGAAGGAAGGAAGGCCTCAGGGGACGTAACTCAGTTGGTAGAGTACTTGTCTAGCATGTTGGAGCCCTGGGTTATCCCCAGCAGGGCATGAACTGGACATAGTGGTGTGTGCCTTTAATCCTACACTTTGGGGACAGAGCAGGAAGATCAGAAGTTCAAGGTCATCCCTTGGCTACATCATAAGCTCAAGGCCAGTTTGGGCTTGAGATCCAATCTCAAAAATAAAAGATGGCCTCAAACTGGGCAGCAAGGATATATGTAAATATCATTGCTGACCAGAGTTGGGGATTCAGAATACAACAGGCTCTGAGGTGCCAGATGGTCAGACATGTGAGATGCCAGAGAGGCAATGTGAGACTCGCAGAGATGGAGGGAAGCAGGACTTGGGAAGTGGTGATAAGGACAGGATATGCCAAGGGGCCAATTTGATCACAGAGCCCGGGGCTGCCTGCTGGCACGGGGAGAGCTCAGGAGTGCAGCAGGGAGGGGGGAAGGGGGCATGCTGCGGCCTCCTGTTGAGGCTTCCCACAGCTGCCTGAGGTGAGGTACAAGGACCATGTCCCCTCGTAGAGTGTGCATGCTCCTCATGAGAACTTGGCCTGCTGACATGAGCCTGGCTCTTCTGAGAACTGCACCAGAGGCACTTGACCGCATGGGACTATGCCTGAGACTGAGCTGTGGGCAATGGGTCTCGAGGTCTCCATGTGTCACAGTTTTACTTGACAGGGGAGGAGGGAACCTTCATGGAGAAATGCTTCCCTAAGATCAGATTGTAGGCAAGCCGTCAGGATACCGGAGGGGACAGATTACTGTAGGTGGTGCCACCTCTGGGCTGATATTCCTGGGTGCTGTAAAACACAGTGCGCTGAACTAGCCATGAGACTCAAGCAGGACACCTCCATGGCTCCTGCATCGCCTCCAGGTTCCTGCCCTGTTTGAGCTCCTGTCCTGAACGCCTTGGTGATGAGCTTCGAGGAAGCATAAGCACAGCAAACCTCTTCCTTGCCAAGTTACCTTTGGTCATGGTGTTTCCTTTTTATTGTTTGTTTTTTGAGACAGGGTTTCTCTATGTTACAGCTTTGGCTATCCTGGAACTCACTCTGTAGACCAGGCTGGCCTCGAACTCACAGAGATCCATCTGCCTCTGCCTCCCGAGTGCCGGGATTAAAGGCGTGCGCCACCGCTGCCCAGCAGTCATGGTGTTTCACCACAGCAATAGTAACCCAGGCTAAGATACAGTCTCACAGTTGTTCATGAGTCTTTAGAGCTAGGTGCTTTGGGAGGACTGACAGAACCCCAGAGGTCTGGGTGCTTATCCCTACAGGAACTAAGCCACAGGGTGTCACTGCCACCTGAGAACAGGGGTGCTGCAGCCTGGACCACCTGAAGAGCAGCCCTGGCTCCTGCTGCCACACCCCAAACTGACCTCCATGATGTCCTTAATGATTGGGGTCCACCGAGAGAGCTGGTAGGTCTGCTCACTGATGCGCTCCTTCCGCTCCGGCTTGCTCCTGCGGCGTAGCGTCGACTGGATGTAAACACATACCAGATCGGGCTCCAGTCAGAACCACCTGGTCTCCATGACCTCTGGAAATTCTCTCAGGGTCCCTCTTCAGAATTAGCATTGGCAACAAGTAATAGAGGTCAGGTTCTGCCCAGTGTAGCCCCCAAAATGTACCTCTTTAAGAAACTCTGAAAACAAGAGCGACTTGGGAAGTCATGGTTCCATTTTGTTGTTGTTGTCCTGGAACTCACTCTGTAGACCAGATTGGCCTTGAACTCACAGAGATCCTCCTGCCTCTCAAGTGCTAGGATTGAAGGCCACCACCGCCCAGCTTGATGCATGTTCTTTAGTTGTGAACAATGGCACCTGCCCTGGGGGCTGTGGTGGTTTGAATCAGAACGGTCCCCAAACGTTCATATATTTAAACACTTAGCTACCAGGGGGCGTCTCTATTTGAAAGGATTAGAAGGATTAAGAGTCATGGCCTTGTTGGAGGAAGTGTGTGTGTCACTGGGGGTGGGCTTTGAGGTTTCAAAAGTCCATGCCAGACCCTCTACTTAGCCTATGCATCAGCTACTTTTCAGAACTAGGCATGCTCACTGCCCTGGCCCCTGCTATGGTGGTAATGGACTAAAATCTCTGACATTGTAAGCAGGCCCTTACTTAAATGCTTTCTTTTATGAGTTATGACTAAAGCAATTAAAAAAAAATCCACACTGGCAATGATGACTCACACCTGTAATCCCAGCATTTGGGAGGCAGAGGCAGGAGGATCTCTGTGAGTTTGAGGCCAGACTGGTCTACAGAGTGAGTTCCAGGACAGCCAGGACTGTTTCGCAGAGAAACCTGGTCTCAGAACAACAATAAAAAAGACAGCACATGCTGCCGGCTGCAGGTCAGGTCAGTAGAACCCAGTCCCTCCTGAAGATCCCAGCTGGCTTTGCTCCATGGGCTGTCTGCCTCTAGGGGAAGCACACAGTGGGGCTCCTCCACGTGGGGGTCAAGGCACTGTCTGAATCTGCCCACTCTCTCAGAGCACACTGTGTAGCCCTGACCTTCTGAATTCTCTGCCAAACGCACAGAGCAAGTAATGTGGTGGTGCCGCCCTTTCGGGGGCGGGGAGACGCTAAGTCTTCAGTGTCCAAAGGCAAGGTCATACGAGCTGTGACAGGGACACTGGGGTGGCCCGTGTCGGATCAGTTCAGACACCACGTGACTCCTGGGTCCGTGTCTCGTTCCTGACTCTGACTTCTGCTTCTGTCCTCTCTGCCCTCACCTCTGATTCTGTCTCTCCTCTCCTCTTTTCCTTCCCCCTCCCTCCCTCCCTCCGTCCCTCCGTCCCTCCCTCTCCCCGTCCCCTGGTCCTGAGAGCGGTACACGGCCACATCACAGGGGGCTGTCAATCACGGATGTCTCCCTGCCTCTAGCAGGCCCTTACGTCTGTGACGATGGGCACACCAAGGTGAGCCATGTTGGTGATGATCTCGCTGTCCTCTGGGGGGATCTGGGCGTGCTGGATGAGCTTGTTCAGGTTTTCCTCGGTGATGCCTGGGAAACAAGGCTGGCTCACCACACCTAACCTTGCCGTCCCCACCCTTACAATCAGAGCCAAAGGCTTCCCCTCTCCTCAGAGTTCTCGGCATTGCTGTCAGCCACATTCAAGGTGGGGTCAAAACAACCTGCTACCCTACTCTAGCCCCCGCGGTGTCACGGCGACTACCCCTCCCGTCTGTTTCCACCCCCAGGGCTCCCAGTCCTTTCTATCTTACCCTGCATCCAAGCAGTGCTAGACAAAGGTCTCATTACCCATTTTTTGTACAATGACGTGGGTAAAAACAGTGTTTGTTTTAGATAGGGTCTCATGCTAGCCTTAAACTCCTGTAGCTAAGGTTGGCCTTGGACTCTTGATACCCCTGCCTCTTCCTCCCAAAGGATTACAGGCCGAATACCAGCTGTTGAAAGGTCTCAGTTACTAATGAGATGCAACCTGGAAACATCTGGCAGGCTGAGTGCTAGTCAGATGGCTCTCTGTCCGTGTCACCTGCTTCTAATCCACTCAGGCTGTGAGCAGGTTCACCCTGGGGTGCATGACCTGGCCCCACTGCCATTCTGCAGGAGGAGCCCCGGGCCGCCCGTTCTCCCGTTGCAGGGTTGCCTAACTAGCGTCTGCACCGTCCCCTCCCCCCGTCTCTTCCTCCAGGTGCCTACCGTTCTTCAGGAAGATGTAGAGAAGGATGATGCGGATTTTGTCGTAAGTGCTGACGTTGGCATCCAGCAGGATGGGGACAATGGCTCTCATGGGGTCCTTGATTTTCTCCCCCTCAGCATCTGTGCCCATTGCCAGATCCTGTAGAAAACACACCTTGCTGGCAACAGTCTGGGCAGGCGGTGACCCTCAGGAAGTTCATGGTTTGGAAGTGCCTAACTTGGTGGTGTGGTTGGGGTAGGCTGTGTGCAGGGCTCTTCAGCAATGGGCTGACAGATCCCAGGATGGCTACACAGGGAGCCCTGAGATCCTTTCCCAAGGCAGGCATGGTAACTGGTCACACTGGAGTAAGGTGCACTGTTCCCTCCAGGGGAATGCCAGGGAACCTCTACCAGACAGACACACGAGGGGTTTAGGACTCACTTCCCACCCACGAAAACTCTGGTATCTCTGCATGGCCGAATTCTTTCCACCCTGACTTTCCTGGCACAGAAAGGCACACTGAGTTATGAGTTTCACCTCTGGTTTTACTCTTCCTATAGCTTTTCAAAGGGCGAGGAGAGAAGGACTCCCAACTCAGGGAGGACAGAAAGGGCGACAGGAAACAGACGGGAGACTGGACAGGACACAGCCACGGGTGCCGCTCACAGCCAGAGTGTGAGCAGCAGCGCGTTACCCTCAGCCAGCCAAGAGCACCCACGCCCGCCTGTCCTCGCACAGACACGGCATTCTCGGTAGCTAGGATGGTGGCAGGGTCCCTTTCTCTCAAGCCCTCAGGAGTTTACACAAATGGTGGCCTGACACACAGGCATGGTCTGAGGAAGGCAGGACTCCTCTCCCTGACCTCTCAACCGCTGTAGAAGGTGTGCTCAGCATGAATAAACTAGCACCCACCCAGGCTTTGTTTGTGTAGTCATTTAAATAACTAATTTTTAAATAAATTTATTTAAATTCATTTTATGTGTAAAGATGTCAGATCTCACTGGTACTGGAGTTACATGTGGAGTTAGGTAAGCTGCCATGTGGGTGCTGAGAACTGAACCCTGGTTTTCTATAAGAGCAGTCAGTGCTCCTAACTGCTGAGCCATTTCTCCAGCCTTAATTAATTAATTTTTAAACATAGGGTCTCATCACGTAACTCTGGCTGGCTTGAGACACACACACACACACACACACACACACACACACACACAGCCCAGGCTGGCCTTGAACTCAGAGATCCTCCTGCCTTTCCCTCCTGAATACTAGGATTAAAGGTGTGAGTCACCACATCCAGCCTCATTTAAAAAAATACACACCCACACACACATTTATCATGTTAGTGCCATGATACACGTTAGAGGTTAGAAGACAACTTGTGAAGCTGGCTCTCCTTCCATCATGTAGGTCCCAGGGATTTGAACTCAGGTTGTCAGGCTTGGCAGCAAGCACCTTTATCTGCTGAGCCATTCTGCCAGCCCTAGAGCACACTCTCTAAGCTCAATGAAATGCAACTTATTCTTTTTGTTTTGTTTTCAGAGACAGGGTGTCTCATTATATAGCCCTGGCTGTCCTAGAATGTATGTAGACCAGGCTGGCCTCAAGCCCACAGAGATCCACCTGCCTCTGCCTCCTGAGTGCTGGGATTACAGGTGTGTACCACCACAACCAGCTTAATAGTTAATATTTTTAAGTACTTTTAAAAAGAGTGTGCTTGGGGCGGGGTTTCAAGACAGGGTTTCTCTGTGTAGCCCTGGCATGTTCTTGCCTCTTACTGACTAGATAGAACTTGCTTTCTGGACTGGACGGCTGGGCTCTCGGGGAGAACACCTAAGAAATGGGTGCACTTTCGGAGGGGAGGGCTGTCTCCCTTCCAACCCGGGCAACACTACTGCACAGAGCGTGCAAACCTCACTGAGCCTCTCACAGCAAGCCAAGGGTGAAGATCTCAACTCCACACTGAGTGTGCACTGATGTTTTTCTGTAAAACGAGGCTCAGCTCCTCGACTTTGGTGGGGATGGGGTGCGTGTGGTGTGATGGGAGTCTCACAAAGCTGTCCAGGCTGCCCTGAAATCTGTGGTCCTCCCGGCTCAGGTTCCTGGGCAACTGCAGTTACAGGCCTGTGCCACCAAGCCTGGCACTTCAGAGCGGTCAGTGTCCTCTTTCCTCCTTAGAAGCTGGCACAGGGGCAGGAAAATGGCTCAGAGTTCAAGGCTGCTAGGTCTAGGCGAGGCCCTGAGTCTGAGTTGAGACTGCTGACCAAGGGGGTTGAAATCAGTGACAACGCAGCTGCCACACAGCGTAGGTTTGCCTGCTTCTGGTTTTGGTACTCCCCACAAGGTGAGAATGATGTTTGTGCTGAGTTAGGCACAAGGGAAAAGGAAGCAGAGGGTACCAGACACACCAGCCACAGCAAAAGTCAGTCTAAACTCAGCGCCTGGGTCTGCGGTTAGCAAGGCTTCGGGGAGGATTTGTGCCCGTGCTGCGGGCACCCTGGGCTCCAACGCCGGTCTGTCATAGTGGGACCAGAACACATGAAGACAAGAGCACCAACCGAACCGTCCAGGATGACAACTCCTGCCATTCCAGGAAAAACAGAGCCTCTGGAAAGAGCCAGGCATGCAAATTCCAAATAATACAGCACTCCAGATCCATCTAGGCCCTACCCGCCGGAGCAGAGCCAAACTGGCTCCACAGCTGGGACAGCCGGGGTCATAGGTTCTCCCTTCTCTAGATCCTAGGATTCTGCAAGATGTTGGAGGTCAAAGGTTAAAATTCAGTGGGGGTGAATAGGCAGAGCAGGAGTTCTGCCATGCAGAAAGGAAAGGAAGCTAGCCCTACCTGCTCCACGCGGCAGAGTTTGTCTACGGTGCCTTGGTAATGCTTCATACAGTCTTCAGCAAGGTGCAGGTGAGTCGAATACTAGGAAAAGCACAAGACCCAGTAAAGCCAAAGCCACTGAGTGACGGAACACCGAGTGAACGTTCTCATGAGGACGTCAATGCCAGTGGCAGCAAAAGACAATGTATTACTGGGAGAGTGGAGTTAAACCACAGCCCACAGGAGGGGAAGGAGAAGTCTTTTAGGCGGGTGGAGTGCCATGAGGCCCAACTCTCTCTAGAAGCAATTCCTGAGCACGGGATGGGTGTAGCATCTGGTAAACACCTTGCAGGTAAGTGATATCATTTCACCTTTACCATCAGGACACAGAAGCCCTGATGCCTTCCTCGCCCTCTCTCTGATGGGCCACTCTGAGGAAGGCCAGAGCTGTGTGCGGGCAGCCAGCACTGGCAAAGGCCTGCGTGGCGAGGAGCTGAGGCCCCCAGTCAACATCAAGGGAGGAAAAGAAAGGAGAAAGATGGAGAAAAAGGAAGAAAGTAATAGGAAATAGGGTTTCAGCCTCCCTTTCCTCCTTTTCCTAATAAGAACTGAATCTAAAATCCGCAGCTTTCTGTGACCCGCGGGGCAGCAGGGTGTGAGAGGTTCTGCAGCTCAGCCCTCCGAGTCAGACAGTCTGGGTGGGGTCTCCGCACCTTGCTGAGCTCCTTCTGGTACTGGGGCATTTTCTTCAGCATCTGGGACAGGTCCCGCATGGTGGTCTATGAGGAGGGAAACACGGTGTCACGAGACCTAACGAAGCCTTGTGAAACTGGAGGGCACGTGACAGGACAGCAGCCACCTCAGACTTCACAAGTGTCCACTCATGCACTCAAACCTATTGATCCACAGCAGTCACCAGGTAGAGAACTAAACCCTGATTTCTAGCTATACAATTTTAAGATTATACATATTTTATTTATTTATTTATTTATTATGCATACAGTAAGTATTCTGCCTGCATGTATGTCTGCAGGCCAGAAGAGGACACCAGATCTCATTATAGATGGTCGTGAGCCACCATGTGGTTGCTGGGAATTGAACTCAGGACCTTTGGAAGAGCAGTCAGTGCTCTTAACCTCTGAGCCATCTCTCCAGGCCTACATATTTTATTTTTATTACATATACTTAAAAGTCAGTGGAGGCCAGAAGAAGGCATCGGAGTTACAGGCAGCTATGAGCTGATGTGCGTTCTGGGCCTGAACTTGGGCCTTCTGCAAGAGCAGCAAGTGCTCGAAATCACTGAGCCATCTCTCTACGGTTTAAGTTATACTCTAATTAATTAGTGTGTATGCAGGTACACATGCACGAGGGCCACAGCACACTCAGAGACGACGCGAGGACAGTTTGCAGGAGCCAGTGCTCTCCTTCTGACATGTGGGTTCCAGGAACTGAACTCAGGCGGCCAGGCTTGGCAGCAAGCGCCTCTTCCTGCCGAACCATCTTGGCTGGGATTAAAGATAAGCACCACTACATCTGGCTGGGCATGACGTTTCTAACGAGTGAAAAGAGGCCAGAGCCAAGGGTGACCTCAGTCCACCACAGGCTAAAACACTCGTAATTCTTCCAGCTTAAGATCAGTTATGCTCCTGAGTGGTAAATCTTAACCCTGCAGCTATGAGAAAGCAGCTGGCCACAGACACAGAAGACAAGGGCTCTTTCAGAGAGACAGGGTCGTCTGCCATGTTGGGGATCAAGCCCAAGGTCTATGCTACTAAAAAAGCGCTCTATCACCCAGCCACGCCCCCAGATCCCAGATCTCAGCATGCTTTTCAGATATGAATCTTTTTTTTAAAGATTTATTTATTTACTGTGTATACAGTGTTCTGCTTGCATATATCCCTGCACACCAGAAGAGGGCACCAGATCTCATTACAGATGGCTGTGAGCCACCATGTGGTTGCTGGGAATTGAACTCAGGACCTCTGGAAGAGCAACCAGTGCTCTTAACCTCTGAGTCATCTCTCCAGCCCCCAGATATGAATCTTAAATGCAAAAATAAAGCACATATTTAGTGAGGGAGAAATATGGCCCTGTCTATTCCCTAGAGGGACACAGAGAAGGCAGGGACTGACCCTCAGGGTGTCTGGGCACTGGCATGAATTATTGACCCCCAGGACTTCTGGACATCAGCGGGCTTACCTTCTCTCCAGTATTCATCCTCTTGCTAGAGGAAAAGTCCTTCAGAGACCGGGTGACCTCCCTGCAAAATGGGGGAAGGCAGGCAGTCACACTCAACACGGTGCCCAGGGCTCTCTGCAGAGACCGCTGAGGCCGCATGCAGTCCTTCTTGGGACAGGTGGCAATTGTCTTCCCACTGAGGTGTGCATTTAGAGTGAAGGACACATGCCGCTCTCATTCACTGACCCTCTACACCACTGGGCTCCAGAGCAGGGTGTGTCAGACAGCTCAAGGGACAAAAGGGACAGTACTGGGCGTCCACTTGTGTTTCTTTTCCAAATGCATACAAGAAGAAAGACTCATGTTTGGAAAATACAAATCTATGCAGTATATGACTCATTCATAAACACATTTAATGGCAAGAAATGGGGGTCAGGATTTCCTCCCCACTATTGGGCATGGTGGCACACCCCTTTAATCCCAGCAGAGGTAGCTCCAAGGATCTCTGAGTTAGAGGCCAGCCTGGTCTACAGAGTGAGTTCCAGGACAGCCAGGGCTACACAGAGTAACCCTGTCTTGAAAAACAACAAGAAAAAAAATCACCCACCACTAAACAACGGTTTTGTGGAGCTGGGGGTAGAACCCAGGGCCTTGTCAATGGTAGGAAAAGTCCCCCTCTGAGCTGCACCCCAGCCCATGTAAGGATAAGTATTTCTTAAGGCTGAGGGATCAAAGTTTCGACAAACTTCCCTAAACAGAACTGTGGAAGGGTGCAAAGCTTTCCCACTTTTCCTCGTGAATTTCATGAGGATACCCCAAGTGGAGAAGACAGAGTGTCTCTTTCTAAAAAAGGGGAGCTGCCGTCTCTGTCTTCTGTCCGTGTTTACACACAGGAAACATCATGCAGCCCTTTCACCACGGGCATCTCAGTTGGAGGACATAAACTCTCCCCTGAGGAGCCAGTGAGGCCTGCTTGGCAGCTCATGGAGTCAATGTGCAAAGTGGGATGGGCTAGCACCCCTCTGAGAGTGCCACCCAGGCTCCCAAGAGTCCTCAGAGCAAGTGTCCTGAGCGGTGGGCTTTCTAGGTTGGTGAAGTTGGAGAAGCACACACTCAATGAACAGAATCTGTCAGTTTCAGCAGCATGCTAGCAACTTTGCCAAGTGGCTGGGTGTGGATGGTGACTCCCAGGCCAGGGTTAAGGGCCCACCGTGGGGAAGGTCATCGGGTTCTTACTGGGACACCTCTGCAATGTGCTTGTGACGCAGCGTAATCCACAGGTCATCGTCCTCGTCCAGAAGCACCTCCTTCACCCGCGCCTCTCCAATGCCACTGGTCTCATATCTGCAGGAGAGAGGGCCTGGGTGGCCTGGGTCCCCACGGTGCCTCCTGGGCCCCCTCTGCATGCTCTACTGGTTTTATGAAACATGATTCCATGGATCCCAGGCCAGCTTCAGAATCCTTTAGCAGCTAAGACAGGCCTTGACCTCTTGATCCTCCTGCCTGCACCTCCCAAGTGCTGGGGTCACAGGTGTGCACCCCCACACCCAGTCACCGCCTTTGGTTCCTAAGGATAACACCTGTGTCCTCAGCTGCCAGCTGATCCTGGGCGTGGCTCATTAACACCACTGACCACCTGACAGGCTGGCCAGGTCATCTGTGACAGCACCAAGTGGGCACTTCCCTGGGCAAGGAGAAAGGGCTCTGTTCAAAACCAACAACTTGGGAGCTCTGCTCTAACTCCTCCGAGCTGTCTGGGAAGAGGTGTGGGGCCTGTGGCAGTTGTATGTGAATCTAGAGTTACACAGAATAGAAAGACTACACGTCTGTCTGCCCCTCTCTGGGAACGGGGAGGGATACAACTGTGTGTGTACAGTTGCCTAACAGGTTTCCAGCGGCTTCTGCGATAGGTCCTCAGCATGTTATTACACACGGAGTCATGAATGGGCAGAGGAGGCAAGGATCCCAGGGGCCAAAAGGGAGAAGAGCTAAAAGTCACGGATATTTTTAAAATATTCATTTTAAAATTAATTAACTGAGATAAGGTATCTCCATGTAGTCCTGGCTGTCCTGAACTTGCTTATGTAGACCAGGCTGGCCTTGAACTCACAGAGATCCTCCTGCTTCTGTTTCTCAAGTGCTGGGATTAAAGGCGTGCACCACCTAGCAGAACCTTCGTTTTTTTAAAAAGATGTATTTTTTTTGTATGTGTATGAGTGCTTGCCTGTATGTATATATGTATATGTAACCTTCATTTTTTTAAATGTATTTATTTTGTATGTGTACGAGTGCTTGCCTGTATGTATATATGTATATGTACCATGTGTGCCTGACGCTCACAGAAGCCAGAAAAGGGTGTCAGCCCCCTGGAACTGGAATCACAGCCAGCTTTAAGCGTCTGTGTGGTGCTGGGAACTAAGCCCTGTCATCTACAAGAGCAGCACGTGCTCTTAACCACGGAGCAAGCTCTCTAGTCCCAGAATCTTTGTTTTAAGGCCTCTCTTTGTCTTGAGACAGGCTCTCATGCTAAGTGTCCAGATCGGCCTCAAACTCAGGACTTCATGTCTCAGGCTCCTGAGAGCTGAGATTACAGGCAGGTAACATTTTTATAAGGAAGAAGGCAGTTCCACTGCACAGAACATTTAGTTGGAAATCCTGTTGAGGGCCAGGAGGTGGTGGCACACGCCTTTAATCCCAGCACTAGGGAGTCAGAGGCAGGCGGATCTCTGTGAGTTTGAGACCAGTCTGGTCTACAGAGCTACACAGAGAAACCCTGTCTTGAAAAAACAAACAAAAAACTCAAAACACACAAAAAAGAAACCCTGTTGAAATATTTTAGCACAATCATATTTTGTGATCTATAATTAAGAACTTTCCGTTCTGAATAAGAGACACATAGAAACAACCTGCCAACACATCCAAGAAGTTATGAACTGAAGTGATATGAGCTATGAAAAAAAGATCTACCCGTTAGCAAGCACCTAGAAATGCCAAACGGATGGGGGAAACCCATAGAAAACCTTGTAGGCTTATCTAAGAAACTGTATCAATGCACATACTTTCCCTAAGATTAAAAACATTCTTGCCAGGCAGTGGTGGCACACGCCTTTAACCCCAGCACTCAGGAGGCAGAGGCGGGCGGATCTCTGTGAGTTCCAGACCAGCCTGGTCTACAGAGCTAGTTCCAGGACAGCCTCCAAAACAATACAGAGAAACCTGCTTTGAACCCCCTCCAAAATTCTTTTTTCTGCTTGGAGAAATGGTTCAATGGATAAAGAGCTTGCCACAAAAGTGTGAGGACAAAAGTTCAGATGCAGAAACAGGGGGTTCCTGGAATAAACTAGCAGGATAGACTAGCTGAAATTGGCAAGCTCTAGGTTCAGTGAAAGATCTTCCCCTAGTAAGATAGAAAGCAATAAAATATGACAGACACCATTAATTATGGGCCTGTCCTTGCACCCCCCCACACAAACATGCATATCATACATGACATGCATACACACTATACACACACATACAAAAATAGCAAAGTAAAACTACAAACTACAAACAAAGGAATTCCAGTCAGCTGCAGAGCCCGTCACTGAGGACCTTCCTACTCACTTGTAAACGTCGTTTTCGATCGGCAGCAGATCATAACTCATAGCCTGAAAAGTCAGCTCATGGAGTACAGGAGAGCTGGGGTCAAAGCCACGATCCAGGATCAGGAGCTGGGACCGTGCCTTGTCAGGACCCTGGCAAGACACAGGGAGATGCTTCAAGAGCCACACAACCACCCTGAGTCACTCCAACTGGTGGAAGCCCTTAGCTGCAGGCCAGCAGGAACTGAGCTCTGGTGCTGTGCCTGCCGCACCAGCTACTCTAGGTGACAGGCCACAGCCCTGAAGCTACGGCTGGGGCCAAACGGAGCTTATGCAAGAGAGTGAGTGCCAGCTCATTACAAACGGGTGACTGACTGGAGTGCCCGGCACCGAGGGGTTCAGTTACAAATCCACAGCACTAATGGAAGAGTTCTGTGTTTGGGGAATGAGCTAGGGTCTCATACATGCTAAGTAGGCATGCACTCTGCCACTGAGCTGTGCCCTAGCCCCCAGCTCTTTGTCTCAATGGCAGTGTTGGTTATACATATCTATGTATTGTGTTAAAAGTGCAGAGACATGCTGGGCGCTGGTGGCGCACACCTTTAATCGCAGCACTTGGGAGGCAGAGGCAGGCGGATCTCTGTGAGTTCGAGAACAGGCTGGTCTAAAGTGAGTTCCAGGACAGCAGGGCTGTTACACAGAGAAACCCCATCTCAAAGAACCAAAACAAACAAACAAACAAACAAGTACAGATAACCGTGCACACACAGAGTTCATGCAAACACTAGTGAAGCCAGTGAGAGGCTCAGACGGAGGAGACTGTGCCACTGTCTACTTGCTGTCTTTGGCATTTTGCTACTGGGGAGCTCCCTGAACATTCAGGGCTGCCGCTGGGAGTACCGGCAAACAGGATAAGCTGGTCACCCAAGCCATCCTCAACGTTTCTGCACCAGCCTGCCCCAGCAGCAAGGCGCACTTCACGAGAGATCGCTGGGCGGAAAAGCAGCCTCACATATGCTCTGTGAGCTGCACAGCCATGCTGGCTCGAGGGCTGCCCCATCAACAGTTCACTCAGAAGGAGAGCCTTGTCTAAGGGCAGACTTACCTCCCCCATTGTTGGGTCATCAGCTTTGTACGCGTCCAGCTTGTCCTGGATCAGCTGAGCCAGCAAGGCGTTGTCCTTGTACTCCCTAACCAAAGGAGAAAGTCAGCGGGAGAGTCACCTGTGCATCCAAATAACGTGCCAAGTGCCTCCAGGCAGGGTGCCGGGCAGTGTGGGATAGACAGGAGGGGTGGGAACACTGTCTATGCTAGAATTTCACCGTAAGAATGTACCCACGTCTGAGAGGCATGGTAGCACATGCTTACAATCCCAGCACTTGGGAGGCTCAGGAAGGACAGCCACCACAAGGTTAAGGCTAGTCTGAGCTACATAGTAAGACCCTGTCTCAAGAATAAACAGACAGACAAGCCCACTAAATCTTTTTTAAAAATTCAAAGACTGGCCAGGTGGTAGTGGTGCACGCCTTTAAGCCCAGCACTTGGAGGCAGAGGCAGGTGAATCTCCAAATCTGAGAACAGCCTGGTCTACATAATAAGTTCCAGAATGGCAGAGCTTTACAGAGAAACTCTGTCTCAAAACAAAAACAAAAAAACCCAATACATGAATATGTATATTTGTGTATATGTATGGATGCACACATACACACCTCCAAAGACTATGCCTTCCCCACCTCCCTCCTCCCTCCCTTTCTCTGTCTCTGTCTCTGTCTCTCTGTCTCTGTCTCTCTGTCTCTGTCTCTCTCTCGATCTTGAATTAAGGTCTTATGTAGCACAGGCTGGCCTCAAACTTGCTATGTAGCTGGGGTTAATCTTTTTTTTTTTTTCGAGACAGGGTTTCTCTGTATTGTTTTGGAGCCGGTCCTGGAGCTCGCTCTATAGACCAGGCTGGCCTTGAACTCACAGAGATCCGCCTGCCTCTGCCTCCCGAGTTCTGGGATTAAAGGCGTGCACCACCACTGCCTGGCTGAGGGTAATCTTGAACTTATCATCTTTCTGCCTCAGTCACCCAAGTGCTAAAATTACAGATGTGCCCCACCAAGCCTGACTTTGTATTTCACTTTCAAAACCTCTGCAAAGATGATGTTGGTTTGAAAACATTTCAAAGAGTTGAAAACAGGAAACCTGATTGCAGGGGCATTGGGGTTTATATTTTGACTATTGAGTAACTAAATGTACATATGCTCTTTTCTAAAGGATAAAACAATTGAAAGAATATTTTTATTTATATTTATTTATTTATTTATTTATTTATCACTGTGTGATGTGTGAGGGGCATGTATGCAGGCACACATCCACGAGTCTGAAGACAACTTTGTGACACTGGTTCCCTCCTTCCATCTTTTCATAGGTTCCAGGGATTGAACTCAGGTACTTGTGGGACACAAAATACCCCATCCTGAGCAGTCCAGCATGCTGCCTTACCCCCGATACCGCACAGCTGGGTACTCCTTTAGGGTGGCACACAGGGTTGCAATCTGCTCTGCCAGGCGTTCCAGGATAGGATTCTTCATCTGAGCCTTGTGAGGGCTGTAGAAGCTTTGAAAAGAATCGGCAGAGTCCAGGGAATACACCTAGGAATGAAAAGAGCAGGCAGAGCTCAGGCCAAGGTGAACTGCTGGAGCGTCCTTTACCTGGCAGCCTGCTCCATGCTTCTGCTTATCCCAGTGCCTGGCGCTTCCACGATCAGCGACCAGAACATCCCTGCTCCCAGGGAGTGACACATACGGGGAAGACGGACATTAAACACGATGAGAGGTAAACTGTATGAGGTGGAGAAAAGAATAAAGCAGGCAGAGTGCCCTGGACAGCCAGCAGGGGAAGGTGCCTGGACAGCCAGCAGGGGAAGGCGCCTGGACAGCCAGCAGGGGAAGGTGCCTGGACCCAGGGAGACTGTCTGAGAAGACTTTCAAGGAGCTAAGTGTTTACTGCCAGCAGAGGACTTCCCTGAGGAGGGAAAGGTGAGGCAAAGGACCTCAGGATGTGTGCACCTGGGGCATCTGATGAGCAATGTCGGGGGAGGTCACCACAAGGGCTCCTAACCCAGTCTGAGTTTGCCTTTAACAAACAAAGGATGAGCTGGAGATTGTGCCATAACTGTGGGCAAATAAGGGAGCTTTTTATAGGTTTAATAATACCCTGTCTCCAGCAAACTGCTCTAAGTGCTCTCCTCCTCCCCCCCCGCCCCTTTCGGTGAAGGGCTGTGGACGTTAGAATCCGCTTTAAGATGTAGGATTCTCTCAAGTTCTCACTGTGTAGACCCTGGACTTCCTTTTAAAAGTGGTCAGTATTATCATTGTTATTATTACTATTATTGAGCCTGGACCTTACTCTGGAACTCACTTTAGCTCAGCCTGGTCTTGATTTGAGTACTTCTCCTACCTCAGAATCCTAGTGCAGAGATTGTAGGAATGAGACTGTGTTTACCTTAAAAAGTGACTCTTTCTTTCTTTATTTTGAGGACGGGTTTCTCTATGCAGCCCTTGCTGTCCTGGAACTCATTCTATAGACCAGGCTGGCCTCAAACTCACTGAGATCTGCCTACCTCTGCCTACTGAATCCTGGGATTAAAGGGGGGGGGTCACAAAACCTGGTTAAAAAGTGATTTTTTTTTTGGTAAAAAGTGATTTTTAACTCTTGGGGCTGGAGAGATGGCTTGGCGGTTAAGAGTACTGACCGTTCTTCCAGAGGACCTGGGTTCAATTCCCAGCATCCATAGCTGTCTGTAACTCCAGTTCCAGGGGGGCTGACACCCATGACAAAACACCAATGTACTTAAATAAAAATATTTGCTAAAAACCTTACTATTTCTCATGTTTTCTGAAATATAATATGCTGTATGTGCTAAAGCTGAAATCTGTTTAATTCAGTGATGATGGGGTTCCAATGGGAAGGGGGTAAATATACCCAGTTCTCCAGCAGGAGTCAGGCTCAGTCCAAGAAAGAGGCAAGGACCAGCTTTAACTCTTCATGCACTCTCTCTCCTCTCTCCTCTTCCCCCACTCCTCTCTCCCTTCTCTCTCTCCTCTCTCCCCTCTCCCTCTCCTCTCCCCTTCCCCCCATCTCCTCTCTCTCAGGACAGGGTCTCATGTGGCCCTGGCTCACCTCAAACTTGTTATATAACTGAGGATGATCTTGAACTCCAGATCTGCCTCCATCCACCTCCCAAGTGCTGGGAACACAGACCTGTGTCAGCAGGCTCAGTTTATGAGACTCAAGGCTCCATGCACTCTGGGCAAACACTGTACTCCTAGCCCCTCAGCTCTCTAAGGACAGGCTACACTCCAGCTTTAGCAGCTGGTCCATAAAGACCAAATACCAATCCTGGGGCTCGTCCTAAGATACTCAAATATATATCCGCTTTACCTTTGTGACCTAAAAGCGTTGTTGTTTTCCCTCCCCCCCACAGGGAGGACATTGCTGATGGGACCTTCGGGTGAGTGAAATGCTAACAGCTGATGACGGAGGTGACCATCTGTTCTCTCAGCACATGACAGGCTGGGGCTGATGCCAATAAAAACAGACTCCTTTGTGGCAGATGGGCGCTCTGCTCTCTGCCCCTCCTCCCCTTCCCTCTTTTAGGAAGGGCTACTTGGGGTTGTTCAAGGAGTCCGTGAAGACGAGAGGGCAGGGATCAGTGGTGACACATACAAGGAGCACAGTGAGCAATGGAGTCAGCAACGGCAGGTGACTAAGACGACGGTGTTGGGCAGATGCCACAGACTAGTCCCCTTAAATAGACACCCGCACGGAACATCACTTGGCGATTCAGAGTATGACCCCTGCCCTTCCGACCCTGATGGAGTAACAAGGAAACAGACTGCACCTGGGACTCATAGGGCAGAAATGCAATGTTGATTTCCGTCAGCGTCTTGATGACTTTGGCTGCTCGGGATTTCACCAGCTCGTTGAACAGGGCATCTGGACACGCTGCAAGAGCCACAGAAGACAGCGGGGGCATCTGTCCACCTGATGGCTCAGTCAAGAGCCCAGGTGTCACCCTCATTTCACTCAGACTTTAAGAGGGAAGTGCATCCCATCCTCAGGATGAACCCTGAGGCACAGAAGAAATGGGGAACTACCTGCCCATCAGACAGCAGCAGCAGACTGAGATATAAGAGCTGATGCCAAGAACAATAGGAGTCACTAGGAGAGGGCGAGGAAGAGAGCAGTGCGTGTCTGATGTTTTTATGATGGAGAACATCATAAAATAATAATGATAATGACACCAGGGGAACGGAGAGGAGCAGCACGGGAGGCCCCTGGTCAGGAGACCCTGGTGGGCCATGACACCCTCCAAACCAGAGAGAGCTGAGGGGCAGGGGCGTCTTGCTGGCTGACAGTCCCCAGTGCTGTCTCCTGCTTCTTGTGGCATCTCAAGGTTACATTCCTTGCTGCTCCCTTGCTGTGTTCTCAGGGTGGCCTGTGGGGTTATCCTGAGGGAGGCGATCTGGTGAAGTCTGCCACTCTAACCTTTGAGGCTGCTCGACTCCTGACAGCTTATCCACACACAAACCTGCACAAAATCAGAAAGCTAACTCTGGGGCAACACTTTGGAACACATGGTCTGAAGACCTGACAGAACAGCCCACAGGCTACAGGGAAGTCAGAATGGCTTCTCAGCAGAAGTCCTTTGTTCCCAGAGGAGCGTGGTGGGCTTCTTTCAGTAGGGTGTGTGTGTGTGTGTGTGTGTGTGTGTGTGTGTGTGTGTGTGTGTACACCTGTGCTTACGTGTGTGTGAGCACTTGTGCATGTGTATGTCTTACACGGCTCATCTTCTCAAGGGAGCACAGCACATTTCTTGTGCTGCCCTGACTTGGCCCCGGGCTCAGTGGAGTTGTGAGGAAATGATTACCTGGGTGAGCAGGAGCTGCTCACAGGGTACTTACAGTCTGTGAAGAACACATGTGCAGCCCGGTACTTAGCAGTTGGTGGGTCCTTAAAGTCACTGATGAGAGAGTGGACAGACTGTGAACAGGAACAAAAGGGCATTCGACTCAGTTTCAGAACCCAGAGCAACCGCTGTCTGCTGATCTAATCTGATTCAGACTACGGCAAGGATTTCTGATGTGTGTGTGACTACAGCACGGTGTTTGACACTCCAGGATGAGTGGCAGTGCCACTGGAACCTGGATTCCTGACCTTCCAGAAGGTTCATGTTGATGACACTCTGGCTGTTTAGCTATAGAAACTTACCCACAAGCCAGTTTTTAAAAGTGTGAAAACTAGGGGGATATTTTTTAAAAATATAAAGAGCCCAAGTCTTAAGGTTTCTATTGCTGTGATAAACACATGACCAAAAGCAGCATGGGAAGGAGAGGCTTCATTTCAGCTCACAGCTCAACATCTCTGTCTATCGCTGAGGGAAGGAAGGCACCTGGAGGCAGGGGCTGAGGCAGAGGCCATGAAGGATGCTGCTGGCTGCCTCACTCTCTTGTTCAGCCTGCTTTTGAAAATACATATTAGGAGCCGGGCGGTGGTGGCGCACGCCTTTAATCCCAGCACTCGGGAGGCAGAGGTAGGCAGATCTCTGTGAGTTCGAGGCCCGGCTGGATCGATAGCCTCCTAAACAATACAGAGAAACCCTGTCTCGTAAAAACCAAAAAAAAAAAAAAAGAAAGAAAAAAAGAAAATACATATTAGGGCTGGAGAGATGGCTCAGAGGTTAAGAGCACTGGCTGCTCTTCCAGAGGTCCTGAGTTCAATTCCCAGCAACCACATGGTGGCTCACAACCATCCGTAATGAGATCTGGTGCCCTCTTCTGGCCTGCAGGTGTGCATGCAGACAGAATACTGTATACATAATAAATAAATCTTTAAAAAGAAAATACATATTATCCAGGACCACTTGGGCCTAGGAGCAGCACTGCCCATTCTGGACTGGGCCCTCTCATATCGCTCATTAATCAAGAAAATGACTTACAGACTTGTCTACAGACTATCCGGTGGAGGCATCTTCTCAACTGAAGTGCCTTTGCTCAGATAATTCTAACTTGTGTCAAGTTGACAAAAACAAAAACAAAAAACAAAACCCCAACCAAACCCTGCAATAACTGGGAGATGGTCCTTGTATGGATTCCACCCGAATCAAGGTGGACAATTTTTTTTTTCCCGAGACAGGATTTCTCAGTGGCTTTGGAGGCTGGACTGGAAGTCACTCTGTAGTCCAGGCTGGCCTCAAACTCACAGAGACCCGCCTGCCTCTGCCTCCCAGTGCTGGGATTAAAGGTGTGCGCCACCACCACCCGGCAAGGTGGATAAATTTAAGTATTAGCTGGAAACTGAGGAGAGAAACCCTGAAAACATGAAACACCAATGCTCGGAGCTAGAACTGCCTGGAGAACATGAGGGAGCCAGAGTGCTGGAGGTAGGAGTTTCGGGCGCCACCCTGCACTGCAGCTGTGTTCCCCAAGGCTCAATCCCCTCCTCCTCACTGCACAAGGCCCCCTCCCTGCCCACCTCTGACCGAATGCAGCGGGTTAAATGTGTGCTTAACCTAGAAATGTCAGGCGGTCTGTGCCACACAGCCTAAGCCCAGAGTGTCAGCCTGAGCTGGGAACCCTGGGGGATTTACCTTCTCAGACGGGGTGATGAGGTACACGGCCTCTAGGCTGGGAAGCGGCTCTCTGCGCTTGTTGATATCCTCCACAACTAGATAAAGACAAAGCCCACAGTGATCAAGAAAACCAAAAGCAATCTGGCCAGGCCCTCCGACTAGCACAGACGAAAGCCAACAGACAGCCCTTGCCACGTCCTTAAGCACCATGTACCTTGGAGATGAAGCCCACTGCTTCACTTCGCCGGAGATCTCAGAGACCCTGAATCCTATCAGGAAAGACCCTCCCCACCCAGCTTACTTCTCTGACGAGTTCTGCAAGGACAAGCTGCATTCTGTCCAGGACTAAGTATCGATCCCCTAGAACTCCTTCCAATCCCATGATGGGTTTGTCTGTCAACACCGTTTGAGCAGGAGCTAGGCTCGGTGGTGTAGAGTACCTGCCAAGCAAGCATGTTCACTCCCTAGCACTGCACCAAGCCGACGCTTTCCTGTGCACTCCCCATCAGGCATCGCAAATACATCTCCATGTGACCGAGCTTCGCCCAGCAGCCCCTCGGTGAAGCACAGCCAGGGGCTTTGGTTTGTTCATTTCCTTACAGACATGGGGCAGGTAATGCAGACCAGGCTGGCCTTGAAGGCAGAGATCCTCCTGCCTCTGCCTCCTAAGTGCTGAGATTTTTGGCTGTGAGCCACCACACCAGCTGCCCACAAGACTGCACAGCTGACTGAACCATGTCTTCAGATGTTTTTCTTCTGTTGCCTGTGTTTATGAGACTCAGAATGCAACTGTGAGCAGCAAGAGGCTGTCTGCTTCCACGGCAGTAAGGTATGCTGCAGTGTAACTGCTGTGCAATCTCTTTAACCATCCTACCTTCTTCTCCCATGGCAGTAAGGTATGCTGCAGTGTAACTGCTGTGTAATCTCTTTAACCATCCTACCTTCTTCTCTTTTCTCTTTGATATAGCATCTCACTCAGCCCAGGCTGGACCCAAATCTCACTACATAGCCCAGATTATGAGTTTATGGTAATCCTCTAGACTACCACATCCAACTACCCAGTCTCTTCTTATTTTCCTTCACTGTTGTATACTCGTCTACGGATTGAGTGAGTGTGTGTATGCACGTGCATGAAGGCTGGAGGAAAATGTATGGGAGTTGGTTCTCTCCACGCGGGCACCAGGAATCAAACACATTATCAGAACTGGTGGCCAGACGTCCTTGCCCACCGAGCCATTTTACCAGCCCAGCCTTGATGGGTGCTTTGACTGCTTCCATTCGGGCCTCCTGGGAGCAACAGTCTGAACACACCTGTGCACGTTTGCTGGGCACACGCCCGGGCTGCTTCAGAACACAAATGTAACTCTGAGCCTGCTGGGTCACAAGGCACACATACTTTAAACTTTGTCACACGTTGTCAAGTGCTTTGTAGAGCAGCTGCACTGAGTGACATTCCATCACACTGGGGAATGCATTTTTCTACCACTTCCCTGACCTTGCTGACCCCAAGTGTCTCATGTCCCTCATCAGTATGAAGCTGAGTACTTCACACCTATGTATCCGCTATTTGGGTCTCTTCCTTCATTTTTTTTCCTATTGTGTAGAGTGCCATCTTGCCTTAAAAAAATATTTTTAGATTATATATATAGGTGTGTGTATGCGGTACCCATGAAGGCCAGCAGAGGGCACCAGATTCCTTGGTGCCCCACTTAATATGGGTGCTGGGAACTGAACCTGGATCCTCTGGAAGAGCAGTACACACTGTTAACCACTGAGCCATCTCTCTAGCCTATCTTTTTTCTCCATCTGGCCCTTCCGTTTGGCACCCAGCACTGCATTCTGTGAGGGCTCCAGTCAGGAACAGGGATCTTCAGGCATTACAGGGGCTTACGGTCTTACCACACAGGTTGCTGGAAGCATCTAAATTCACAGGACAGTAATGAATAGGGAGGGTACAGCATGCTTCAAGGGAAGTGGAGAGTGCCGTGCTCACTTGTGATTCCCTCCGTCATGATGTCCGTCATCTTGCAGCAGGAGGACAGCATCCTCATGCTTAACTGGTCCACCACCAGCACCTAGAAGGAGGAGAACAGCTCAGGGCTGCACAGCTCCTGCCCTCGCTCGCTCCTGCTCCCTGCACGAGGCTTCAAGGGACCATGTGGGAAGTGCGAATGTGCAGGACGCTGCTCCCCGTGGCTTGGAGGCTTGCTCGCTGGGACACACACCTGCTTCCCAACCTCGGTCTCTCGCTGACTCGACTTCAGAAACTTAAAAACCGTTCATACGCATGTACACAGAATCAAAAACAGGAGGGAATCATGAAGGGCACCAACACTCAAGAGGCGGCCACAGCTGTGGTGTTTTCAGTGGTAGATTGCTCTCACGGGAGACTGGCCAGTGTCCACACCCATGGTGGTTCATGGGGCTCGGCGCAGCTACCACCAGGGCTCCTAGCTCTGTCAGCATACTTCTCTGTCCAGACTGGAAGCACAAGAATGTTCTCCCCTGCCGTGCTCACCTCATCTTTCCTAAGTCTTTTCACCCCACAGTAGAGACAAAGAGCCAGCAGTGAGAACAAGGCCTTTTCTTCTCCTTCATGACATGAAGCAGGAAGAGGCCGTGAGCTGGGCCTGAGCAGCACAGCTGGTCCTGACCAGGAAGCTTCTGCTGTCCTGGGTGCTGGTGCTCGCCTTTAATCCCAACATTCGGGAGGCAGAGGCAGGCGGATCTCTGTGAGTTCAAATCCAACCTGGTTTACAGAGAAAGTTGCAGCACAGGCTCCAAAGCCACAGAGAAACCCTTCCTCCATAAGAAAAAAAGAAAAAGAAAGAAAGCCAGCTTCTACTTCTGAACGGCAGCCCCTCAGCCTCATCTGATGAGGAAATTCCTGTCTGCTGCAAGCCTTGCCTGATGGGAAGGGTGAGAGAGAGGCATTCCACCAGATGGTCTCCCCTCTAGAACTGTGGGAACCAAAACAGAACCCCACAGGGCCAGAACTGGGCTTCAAAATCCTCCTTTGTCAATGAGCGTGAGTATATGTGGGCTCTTGACTCCAGGGAAACCTGAGGTTCCAAATGGACAGTGTAGACCCTTCACCAGCAGGTGAGGGAGCTGCAGAAGAGTCCCTCCTAAGCCGGGCGGTGGTGGCACACGCCTTTAATCCCAGCACTCGGGAGGCAGAGGCAGGTGGATCTCTGTGAGTTCGAGGCCGGGCTGGACCGACAGCCTCCAAAACAATACAGAGAAACCTTGTCTCGTAAAACCAAAAAAAAAAAAAAAAAAAGAGTCCCTCCTGCTCCCGGCCAGTATGATACCATCTCAGAGAGCCTTCAGCTGCTGAGCCAGCTCACTGATCCCATGTCCAGGAAGAGCCTCGGATCATACAGGAAGCAAGCTCCGCCCTGGGGAGAGCTCTCACTCCTGACAACTCCCCTCCGACTGCAGCTCTGCCCTCCGTGTGTGTGGGTGGTGTGTCTGCATGTGCTGTTCACGCGTGTATGGGGGCACGCACATGCTGATGTCAGGCGTCCTCTTCAATAGCTCTCCAGGGTCTTTACTGAGGCGAGGGCTCCAGTGAAGCCAGGACTCACCATTCTGCAGACTGACCCCGCTGGCCAGCAGATCCAGTCTCTACCTCCTGACCGAAGGGGTCACAAGCGTATCACAAGCGTGCTGGCCAGCTTGCTTGTATGGAGTGGGGATGCAAACTCCGGTCCTTGCCTTGCACAGCCTGGGCTTCATCCACTGACTGTGCCCAGACCCCTCCCACGGTCCTATTGTCACATGTAAGCGAACTCACCTTCAGGGTCACACTGCTCTTTACTCACCTTCCACTCCCCCTTCTTCTTAACTTTCTTGATCACATCATGCATGATCTCTAAAAAGGGAGGAGGGGAGAAAGGGGGGGGAGAAGAGGAGGGAAGGAGAGGGAGAGACAGGGGGAGGGAGGGAGGGAAGGAGAGAGGGAAGGAGGGAGGGAAGGAGGGAGGGAAGGAGGGAAGGGGAGGGAGGGAGAGGAAGGGAAGGGGAGGGAGGGAAGGGGAGGGAGGGAAGGAGACAGAGGGAGGAAGGGAAGGAGAGAGAGGGAGAGAGGGAAGGAAGGGGGAGAGAGGGAGGGAAGGAGGGAAGGGGGAGGGAGAGGGAGGGGAGGGAAGGTGGGAGGGGGAGAGACAAGGAGAGGGATGGAAGGAGGGAGGCAGGGAGGGAGGGAGGGAGGGAAGGGGAGAGAGGGGAGAGGAGGGAGGGAGGCAGGGAGGAAGACGGAGGGAGGGAGGGAAGGAGGAAGAGAGAGAGGGAGGGAGGGAGGGGGAGAGACAAGGGGAGGGAGGGAGGGAAGGAGATAATGTTACTGAAATTTCAAAGACCCACACCTGCCTGTTAGACTAGGGCGTCTCCCACAGGCCTTGCTCTCCCGACATGCAGTTGATCTGTGGACAGAGGCACAGTCACCCACCACAGAGGCAGTTCCTTTCCTGTCTCTGCAATTCACTGACTCACAGACGTTCTGATCTCAGGTCTTCTTTATGCTTTTCAAAACAAAAGACCCCAGAGATTATCTACATGGATAAACATCTTCTGGCGTTAAGAACAAAACTGAGCCAGGCACTCACACACACCTATAACCCCAGCCCGTGGGGGCTGAGGTGGGTGGAGTTTGAATTTGAGGCCATCCTGGGACACACAGGTAGCAGAATGTGGATACATACAGGGAGATGTTCAAAAAACAAAGTAAACTGAAAAAAATCAACAGATTCACTTAAAATAATGATAAACCAGTGTATGTCAAGATGAGTACTGTTTCATTGAATGAACAATAATTATTTTTCTCAGTTAAAAAAATCCTAGGGAGAATGCTGGGGTTTTACATCTTCGTGGCTCTCATTAATGTCTGGTTTCACAAAGGACAACTGTCTGCCCCTTCTGCTTCCGAAACCAATCTGTCTGGAATCAGGTGACATCTGGAAAGGCTCAGAAGAGCATGAAAAGGAGGGCAATGACCTCACAGCCTCCCTATGGAGACAGCTGTGACCTGAGTCCTCCCAAGGCTGTTAGACTTGAGAAGCTCTGCTCTAAGTAAGAGGACTCTGCCCAGGCCTCCCGCCCAGAGTCCCTTTCAGACTCTCCTCCAGGCAGCAGGGGCTTGAGGTCTTCCACACTGTACGCTCGTCTGTGCTATGCTCTCACCCCTGTTGTCATGGCCTGTTGACAGGCCAAACAGGAGCGGCCGCGGAAGCCGTATAGGAAATCGGATGTTTGCTGCTCTGAAACCCAGGCCACACACCACCCTGGAATGACTAGAAGGCTCACTGCAGACATCAGGAAGCGTTTCCCACATTCAAGTCCTTGCCCGTCTGTCATGTCTGCCTCTGACCACCTTTTGTAATCCAACCTGTCATAAAGTGTTCTCAAGTTTTCAGGATTTTTCTTCTGATGATTAAAAACAAAAATAGCCCATTGTGGTGGGTGGGACATGCCTGGAACCTTATCAGTTGGGTAGCAAAAACAGGAAGATGCTGAAGTTCATGCCAAGTTGGGCTATGAGTTCAAAACCAGACTTCCTCAAAAAACCAAGGGATAGCCAAGCAGTGGTGGTGCACACCTTTGATCCCGGCACTCCGGGGGCAGAGGCAGGAGGATCTGTGAGTTTGAGGCCAGCCTGGTCTATAGAACAAGTTCCAGGACAGCCTCCAAAGCTACTGAAACACTGTCTCAGAAAAAGGGAGGGAGGGAGGGCCCGTGAAGATAGCTTGGCAGTGAGGAGCACTTGCTCCCAACACTCATAAAGGGCAGTTCACAGCCTCCAGTAACTCCAGCTGCAGCAGATCCAATGCCACCTTCTGGGCACCTGAGGCATCTGTATGCACATAGCATCCGTGAGCGCGTGCGTGCGCACACACGCACGTGCACACACACACACACACACACACACACACACGCATGCATGCACACACAAAAAATAAAATACCAAAACTTTTAAAAACTCCAGAGAGAGAAATAGGAGGTAAGACTGGATAAAACCCGTAACTTCAGAGCTTGGCTTACAGTGAGACAAGAATGGAGTCAGACTAGAGGAAGGGAGGACAGTCAACTGATAACCTTGGAAGAGTTGCTAGAAGGTAACAGAAAACAAACTAACAGGATGAGACGAGAAAGCAAAGGGTGGTTTTGTTTGTTCTGAAAGATGTGACAGATCAGAACATTTGGTGCTGGCAAAATAAACAAAAGAAAATCCCAGAGAAAAGATGGGATATGGGAAGACTGCGTCCCTTCTGGGGAGGAGGGAGATGGGGCTGAGTCATGAGCACCTCATCTGACGGTGTGAGGAGTATTGGGGGTGAAGCATGGGAGGAGGAACAGTGAATGGTGTTAGTGGAAGATTTAAAGAGGAGGAAACCATACATCTTCCAGAGACCAGGGAAGTGAATTACTAGATTTTGGCATTTCGGGACAGTTCTAATAGGCTTGTGACAACAATTCTAAGTGAAACCAGGAATCCTGGGTAGCTTTGTATTTTATGAGACTCACAGGTAGTGTAGTTGACCTAAAGGCTGCAATACCGCTGCCTCAGCCTTCTGAGTGCTGAGATGACAAGGGCTCCACTGAACCTGGATTTCCCTCCAGCTTTACAGGGCCCGAGGGATGAAACTCAGGTCGGGCCACTCAACCACCTTACAGCCCTACAGCTGACCCCCCAATCTATCTGTCTGCCTATCTATTTGAGAGGTTCAAGACAGGGTTTCTCTGTAGCTTTGGAGCCTATCCTGGAACTCTCTCTGTAGACCAGGCTAGCCTTGAAATCACAGAGATCCACCTGCCTCTGCCTTGAGTGCTGGGATTAAAGGTGTGTACCACCACTGCCAGCATCCCCCAATTTATTTGTTTATTCTAGTAAATGAAATCACAAAGCCACATCTAGGGCACTAGAATTCTGCCTGTTTCATTGAAGGCTGGCATGTCAATGGTCCAAATGCAAATACACCTGGTTTTTGCTGTTGGTTTGTGATCTTGAAGTTATCTATTCCTTCTGTGCCTTAGCTCCTTGCCTTCTACCTGGGAATGACAGCTCTTGTGAGACTCTTGAGCTTTTTAATTTATTTATTTATTTTGGTTTTATGAGACAGGGTTTGTCTGTGTAGCCCTGGCTGTCCTGGAACTCCCTCTGCAGACCAGGCTAGCCTTGAACTCACGGAGATCTGCCTGCCTCTGCCTCCTAAGTGCTAGAATTAAAGTTGCGTGTTACCACTGCCTGGTTAAATTTTTTTGAGATTATAATTACATCACTTCCCCCTCTCCTTTCCTCCCTCCAAAGCCTGCCAAATACTCCTCATGGCTCTAGCTGAATTCATGGCATCTCTAAGTTGCTACATACAACTGTTTTTGGTGGTGGTGATGGTGGTGGTGGTTTTTGGTCTTTTCGAAATAGTGTTTCTCTGTAGCTTTTAGAGCCTGTCCTGGAACTCGATCTGTAGATCAGGCTGGATTCGAACTCCCGAGTGCTGGGATTAAAGGTATATGCCACCAATGGCCAGCACAACTTTTTTTTTAAAAGAATATATGCATAGGCAAGTTGGAAAAATGCTGAGCAAATGTTACTTTTATGAAATAAAATTATTATCTTTAACTGCTGATGTGTCCCAGTGTTGCTCCATGCTTCTACTAGTAAACAAGAAAACAAGCAGAAAACGGCTCTGGACCCAGTGTGGAGGACCGTCCACCGCACTGCTCTGCAGGCATCTGTTGGGAGAACTTGGGGCACATGAAAGCGCGGGGGTCCTGGGCTTTTGTTAACATGAGCTGAGTTCTTCCAAATGCACAGCTGCTTGGCTCTCCCCCCGCAGGGCCCCGCCTCACTGCTCCAGCAGAAAGCATGCTTCCCTGCGGCTGCGTCGGTGCTGTGGTGCAGCAGGGGCTGTGCTCTGGCACTGAGCTACACAGCCCGGCCCCCTCCGCTTTATCTGAACTTAACAAATGACTCAGACTGAATATATCTTTTGCTACCAAAAATTAACTTAAATGCAGTGAAAAACCATTGCTCTAGCAACATTTTGATCTGGGAAGGTGGAGATGTGATAAGAAAAAAAAGACAAATCAAGTGCAGCTGTCCAGAGGCATAGCCACCTGGAGCGATGGCAGCTCACTTCCTCCGCACTCGCAGAGCGTGTATCTGTCCTGGGTATTACTAACAGCCAATCCCAGCCCTGCCCTACATTCTTTAATCCAATACCAAAAAGGAAACATGGATTAGAGCCCGTTTTAGCCCGGAGAATCAAGTGACCTGGGTTATTTTCTAGACTATAATCCTATCTCATTGCCTCTTACTTTGCAGATCTCCCCTATACAGAGACCAAGAGCCATGTGGAGCTGGTCAAGTAGTCAACCCATGTCATTTCCACCATCCTCCTAGGGCCACACCCGCATGAAGACCCAAGTTTGAACCTCAGCACCCACGCACAGAGCCGGGCATAGTGGCATGTATTTATAACCCCAGTGCTGGAAAGACAGACAGGAGGGTCCCTGGGGCTTGCTGACCAGCCAGCCTTGCTTAGGTGAGTCTCGAGTCCTGGTCAGAGACCATCTCAGAATGATAGTTCCAGAGAGGCAGCCTCCAACACTGTCCTCTGATGCCCACATGCACCCGCACACACCTTGGAGCGCACGCACAGGCTCGCTCTTTAATTAAAGACACGCGTACCCGCTCACACTTTAATGAACTGGAGTGTGGTTGGGCTGGCCATGAAAGCAGCTGAAAGTTGGAAAGATCAGGGATAGGAGAGTGAAGGGACAGAGATAGGAGCAACCGAAGAAAGCCATGGAGCTCTGGGAGGATGACAGGCTCAGGGTGTCTCAAAGGTCAGCTCAGGCTTCTGCCCTGGCCTG